TGACTCAGTCACACATGGTGCAGCAGGTCCTTCAGCGCTTCGGCTTCACCTGGTCCTCGCCACAGTCCACTCCTCTGGCTACAGGTCACTCGCTCTCAGCTCCACCTTCGGACGAGTCCGTAGAGCCGAGTGGTCCTTACCCAGAGTTAGTGGGCTGCCTCATGTACCTGATGACCTGCACTCGTCCTGACCTCGCGTACCCTCTTGGCCTTCTGGCATGCTACGTGGCTCCTGGTCGGCATCGAAAGGTACACATGGATGCTGCAAAGAGGGTACTGCGTTACTTGTGCAGTACATCGGGCATGGGGCTTGTGCTTGGAGGGCGGAGAGACGTGGTCCTCACTGGGCACTCAGACGCTTCTTGGGTTGACGACCAGGCTACGCAGCGGTCGTCACAGGGTTACACCTTGGCTCCGGTTCTGTTTCTTGGCGTTCTACTCGCTCGTCTTCTGTTCTCAGCTCCAGTTGTGAGGCTGAGATCTACGCCACCGCCATGGCTGCTCAGGAGTTACGCTGGCTCACCTACCTGCTGACCGACCTGGGAGAGCGGCCTCGTTCTCCTCCAGTTCTGTACGTCGACAACAAGGCTGCCATTGCCTTGTGTGAGGAGCACAGACTGGAGCACAGAACGAAGCACATCGCTCTGCGTTACTTCCTGGCTTGAGAGTTGCAGCAGCGTGGTCAGCTTCGTCTTGCACACGTGGCCACTCGGGCCAACACTGCTGATATATTCACCAAGGCACTTCCGTCTGGTGATCATCAACGCTTTTGTACTTTGTTAGGCCTTGTGCCTACGTTTCCACACTTGCTGTAGCCTTTGTGTGTACTGTGCTCTATATTTATACCTGCATGCTTGCTCTTGCTAGGTATTGATCACTGTACTGCTCTTGTTGCATATATATATCTCTGCATGTGGACTGGCCTTGTGGCCCTTTGCTTGTGCTCAGTGTGTGTGGTGACGTTGTGATCCACCCTGAGCTTGTTTTGCGTTTCTTGACTGGTCTTGTGACCCCTTGTTCTCCCCCACTTTGCCTATGGGGGTGTGTCAAACTGTAAATACTTGTGTAGGCTGTAGTGGGGTAGCCCACAAAGGGTACAACCCAATGTTAGGGTTAGGATATGTACCCAACTCTGTTTCAATTCAAGTCATTCCTGTCTCTAGTTTCTAACAGATGACAAGAACAAGTACCGTATCACTGTTCACACTTTCACCGTACCATAGCCCTAGTTCTCGTTGTTAAACTGTATTATGCTTGTAGGCTGTAGTGGGGTAGCCAATATGGGGTACAACCCCAACTAGGGTTTCATATTTGTACCCAAACTTCTGCTAGTTCATCCATTCTTGCCTAGTTCTTCTGAGATGGTATTCAGAGCAGGAGGTCCCTAGGACCTGCCGACCGTTTTTTTTAAGGGCCCACCACCGCTCGCATGCGGTTACCACGCTACCCCGTGCCCTAGCCTCGTAGCGCCCTCGTGCGCCCTCGTTAGCGCCCTCGCGCGCCCCTCGTTAGCGCCCTCGCGCGCACCCTCGTTAGCGCCCTCGCGCGCCCCTCGTCAGCGCCCTCACGCGCCCCTTACTAGCGCCCTCGCGCGCCCCTCACTAGCGCCCTCGCGCGCCCCTCGCAGTGTCGCCCGCCCGCCGAGCCGCCCGCTCGCAGCCCGCTCGTCCCGCTGCCCGCTTCGCAGCCCGCCCGCCCGCTCGCTGCTCGCTTCGCGGCCCGCCCGCTTCGCAGCCCGCTCGCCCCGCTGCCCGCTTCGCAGCCCGCCCGCTCGCTCGCTGCCCGCTTCGCGGCCCGCCCGCTTCGCAGCCCGCCCGCCCGCTCGCTGCCCGCTTCGCGGCCCGCCCGCTTCGCAGCCCGCCCGCCCGCTCGCTGCCCGCTTCGCGGCCCGCCCGCTTCGCAGCCCGCTCGCCCCGCTGCCCGCTTCGCAGCCCGCCCGCCCGCTCGCTGCCCGCTTCGCGGCCCGCCCGCTTCGCAGCCCGCTCGCTCGCTGCCCGCTTCGCGGCCCGCCCGCTTCGCAGCCCGCCCGCCCGCTCGCTGCCCGCTTCGCGGCCCGCCCGCTTCGCAGCCCGCTCGCCCCGCTGCCCGCTTCGCAGCCCGCCCGCCCGCTCGCTGCCCGCTTCGCGGCCCGCCCGCTTCGCAGCCCGCTCGCTCGCTGCCCGCTTCGCGGCCCGCCCGCCCGCTCGCTGCCCGCTTCGCGGCCCGCCCGCTTCGCTGCCCGCTCGCCCTGCTGCCCGCTTCGCAGCCCGCCCGCCCGCTCGCTGCCCGCTTCGCGGCCCGCCCGCTGCCTCACTGCCCGCTTGCTGCGTCGCCCGCCGCGCTTCTCGCCTGCTGCTCCCTGCCTGTGCACCGCCGCTTGCTCCTGCTGTGGCTGCTATCTTCGCTCTAGCGCGTCCCCTCTGCTGCTGCCGCTGCTCTGCTGTGCCCTCACGCCTGAGCTATGGCCTCTATTCGTGTTCTTTCCTTCGATGCTGAGGGCCGTCCCGTGCAGTTCACTTCCTGGCTCGACGACCTGCAGTTGTATCTTATGAGCAATAGCACGGACCACATCTCCCTCTATGACTATGCGTCTGGTGCTGCCGCTGCTCCTGCTGCCACAGCCGAGCTTAGTGTTCGTTCCCACTGGCAGACTCGTGACGCAGCTGCTCGCCTAGCCATTCGCAGTCACCTGCCGCTAGCTGAGCTCGAGCATTTTGGCGACTGCAAATCCGCTAAGGCCCTGTACGATGCTGTCGTTGCTCGCTACTCCTCGCCTGCCACAGCCGAGCTTAGCCGCCTCATGCTGCCGTACCTGTTCCCCGATCTGTCCACCTTTACTACAGTCGCCGATCTTATCACCCACCTTCGCACTAGTGATGCTCGCCTGCGTGCCGCCCTTCCCACCGAGTTCTGCGCTAAGAACCCCCCTCCACTGTACTGGACACTCCACTTCATAGTCACCCGTCTCCCTGACACCCTCAGCTCAGTTCGAGACCACTTCCTTGCTCGCTGTCCCACTGAGCTCACAGTCACCCTCCTAGAGGAGCAGCTGCTCGCGGCCGAAAAGAGCATTGTAGCTGTCGGTGCTGCTCGTGGCGCTCCTCGCACCCCCATCTTTGAGGGGTGTTCTCCCTCTCCCCTCGCTCCCTCCTACGCTGCTGCTGCTGCTGTTGACTTCCTTGGTGCTGAGTCTGTTGGCGCTGCTTCTGCTCCTGGTGGGAGGCGCCGCACCGGCAAGGGCAAGGGGGGCAAGGGTGGTGGTGGTGGCGCTGGGGGGGGAGGAGGTGGGGGAGGTGGGGGGGGAGGCGGTGGGAGGAGAGCGGTGGCGGGAGCGCTGGTGGGAGTGGGGTCGGTGGTGGAGGCGGGGGCGGCGGAGGAAGCAGTGGCAGTAGTGGCGGCGGCGGCGGTGGCGGCGGCGGCGGTGGCGGCGGTGGCGGTGGTGGCGGTGGCGGCGGTGGCGGTCGGAGCGGTGGTAGTGGTGGCGGCGGAGGTCGGAGTGGAGGCACTGGCTCGGGCCAGAGCTCCCAGCAGCAGCAGCGTCCCCAGACGACCCAGCAGCTTCGTGAGTGGCTTGCTCAGCGTGGGACGTCGGGGGGCAGTGGCCGCTGTTCTTATGTCATTCGCACAGGTGACCGCAAGGGACAGACGTGTGGGAGGTTCCACACCCCGTACCGCTGCTTCTCCCGCCTTGACGACGCTTGGCGTGAGGAGATGGGTGCGGATGTTGAGCGCCCCCGCTGGGCTGAGCTCATGAGGGCTGGTGTCGATGTCTTTGCTCTTGACTATGATGCTATTATTGCTGCCATGTATGCATTGACTGTTAGTGCCGAGGGAGACTGTTACTTGTGTGTGCCGCCTGACCCAGGTATAGAGCCCGCTGCCCTGGGTACTAGTGAGTCTGCTCTCTCTGGTATGGTGCCCCCTGTACTTGCTCCCTCCAGTGCTGTCCCGGCTGGTTTCGAGTCTGCTCTCTCAGGTACAGCACCCACAGAGACTGCTCTCTCAGGTACCACACCGGCTGAGGCCTGTCACACCTTCACCCTTGACTCAGGTGCTTCCCGTTGCTTCTTTCGTGACAGTACTGAGCTCACACCGCTTCCTGCACCGGTCCCAGTCTCCTTGGCTGACCCCTCTGGGGGCCCAGTCCTTGCCCAGTCCACCACTGTCCTCCCTTGTCCGGCGGTTCCGTCTGGCTCGTTGTCGGGTTTCCACCTCCCCTCGTTCTCGACGAACCTGGTGAGCAACGCTGTCCTCCAGGATCAGTGGGTTGACACCTTTACCCCTGGAGGACAGCGTGTGGCGATCTGCACGTGCTCCAGGACCGGCCGTCACCTGGCTACGTTTACCCGTCGGCCGGGGTCGAGTCTCTACACACTGACCACTGCGTCTCCTCAGGTCGCTGCTGTCGGTCAGGTGTCTGCGTCAGGTCTGGTAGCCCACGCCTGTGAGTGTCGTTCCCTGTCGCACCAGACTCTTCTCTGGCACCACCGCCTGGGTCACCCCTCCTTGCCACGCCTTCGTGGCATGCACCGTCGCCACCTTGTGTCTGGTCTTCCCAGGTCCCTCCCTCCCCTCCCTGCCTCGCCTGCGCCGCCTTGCCTTCCTTGCGTCGAGGGGCGGCAGCGCGCCGCTCCTCACTCCTCCTCGTTCCCCCCGACAGAGGCTCCTCTGCAGACCCTCCACCTGGACGTGTGGGGCCCAGCCCGCGTTCGTGGTCAGGGCGGTGAGCGGTACTTTTTGCTGGTTGTCGACGACTACTCGCGTTACACCACGGTCTTCCCCTTGCGCACCAAGGGTGAGGTTCCTGCTGTTCTGATCCCTTGGATCCGCACGGTTCGTCTCCAGCTCCGCCGCCGTTTCCGGACGGATCTTCCTGTCCTGCGTCTGCACTCTGACAGAGGTGGTGAGTTTTCCTCCGATCTCTTGAGGACCTTCTGTCAGGCGGAGGGCATCGAGCAGACCTTCACGCTTCCGGACTCCCCACAGCAGAATGGGGTTGCTGAGCGCCGCATTGGCCTGGTCATGGAGGTCGCTCGTACCTCCTTGGTCCACGTGGCCGTTTGCTGTCCGGTACGCCGCGCATCAGCTCAACCTCTGGCCCCGTGTCTCCTTGCCGGAGACCTCGCCCACACTGCGTTGGACGGGGGAGGTTGGCGATGCGTCGCGCTTCCGGGTGTGGGGTGCTCGTGCCCTTGTCCGCGATACGTCCGCGGACAAGCTCTCCTCCCGCACGCTTCCCTGTGTCTTCCTTGGCTTTGTCCCTGACGCGCCTGGCTGGCAGTTTTACCACCCCACCTCGCGCCGGGTCTTCGCCTCTCAGGATGTCACCTTTGACGAGTCGGTCCCTTTTTACCGTCTCTTCCCCTACCGCACTGCCCCCCTCCCTCCCCCGCCGCTTTTCCTTGCTCCTGGTCCCCCTCCGGTAGACCCCCTTCCCCCTCAGGGTCCTGCTCCTTCAGGTGTCTCTCAGGTAGACCCTCCTCCCGTTGCTGAGCCTGTCGAGGTCACAGGTGACTCAGGTGCTGCTGCGGGTGGTGCTGCTGGGAGTGCTGAGCCTGGGGGTGCTGAGCCTGGGAGTGCTGGGTCTGGGGGGGGTGGGGCTGCGGGTGCTGGGACTGAGGGTGCTGGAGCTGAGGGTCCGCTGCCTGAGAGTACGGAGCCTGGGGGTGCTGAGCCTGGGGGTGCTGAGCCTGCGGGTGCGGGGCCTGGGAGTGCTGGGACTGCGGGTGCTGGAGCTGAGGGTACTGTGCCTGAGAGTTTGCCGCCTGGGGGTGCTGAGCCTGGGGGTGCTGCGACTGGGGGTGCTGAGCCTGCGGGTACTGAGCCTGCGGGTACTGAGCCTGGGGGTGTTGCTACTGAGCCTACGGAGCCTCGGGTTACTGCGTCTGGGGGTGCTCCGGTTCGGGGTGCTGAGCAGTCTCTCACACCGCAGCAGCTTCGTGACTGGTACGTCCGGCGCTTTCGCCGTCCTAGTGGCTCGGCTGGAGTTGGGGGTGCTGGGGCTGCTCGTCCTGGGGGTGCTCGTACTGGGGGTACTGGAGCTGCCGGGACTGGTTGTTCTGGGAGCACTGCGACTGGAGCTGCTGGAGCTGGGGACTCTGGCGCTGGCGGTGCTAGCGGAGTTGGAGCTGCCGACTCTGGGGGTGGCGCTGCTGCTGGTGCTGCGGACCCGCCTGGTGGAGCTGCTGCTGGAGCTGAGGACCCGAGCGGTGGCGCTGCTGCTGGTACTGGGGACCCGGACGTTGGAGCTCCTGCTGGTCCTGAGGACCCGGCCGCTGGAGTCTCTTCTGCTTCTGGAGACGCTGCGCGGCCGCGACCGTACTTCGTACCGCTCCTTCAGCAGGTTCTTGGGCAGGCTCCTCCTCCTTGTCCTCCTCCCTCTGTAGAGTGTCCTCCGCCTGTCCAGCCGCAGTCACAGCTACCGCCTGCCTCGCCTCTCCCTGCTCCCTCTCCTTACGCTGGTCCCACAGGAGGTCTTACAGAGCGTCGTGAGCCTGAGTCTCGTCCTGCGTCGCCTGTTCGTCCTGCTCGCACTGGTAGTCGTGTCCGTCGTGAGCGTCCTCCTCCTGTCCCAGGCACTCACTACATGACTCTGCGTCCCTCTACTGCTCCTCGGCGTGTCCCTCTACCGTCTCCTCCTGAGTCCTCTTTGCCTGCCATTCCGGACCCTGAGTCTGACCGGTATCGCGCTGAGCACCCTACAGTCACGCGTCTCCTAGCTACTGTTGTCACTGACCCTACCTTTGAGTCCTCGGCTGCGTCTGCTCTGGTCGCTGAGTTGGTTGACTTTGCTGCTGCCTGTCGTCTAGACTACGCTGCTAGCCTTGTTGCTGAGTCAGAGTCTGCGTCTGTCTGTCCTCCGTCCGTCGGGGGTGAGTGTGCTCTTGGCACGGACGTCCTTGAGGACAGGCAGGAGGACTTTGACTCTCTTGCGGCTGCTGTACCTCATCTCGTGGCCTGGTTGCTTGCCCCTGAGGGAGACCCGGATGCACTAGACATCCCCACTCCGCGCACTTACGCAGAGGCGATCTCGGGTCCCTACTCCTCTCAGTGGCAGACAGCCATGGACGCAGAGATGGCATCCTGGAAGTCCACAGGCACCTACGTCGACGAGGTTCCCCCTCCTGGGGCGAACATCGTCGATGGCATGTGGATTTTCAGGGTGAAGCGGCCGCCAGGTTCTCCGCCTGTCTTCAAGGCTCGTTACGTTGCTAGAGGCTTCAGTCAGCGTCAGGGGGTCGACTTCTTCCAGACCTTCTCCCCCACCCCGAAGATGACCACTCTTCGGGTTCTGCTGCACGTTGCTGCTCAGCGTGACTACGAGCTTCACTCTCTTGACTTCACCACAGCGTTCCTGCAGGGCAGCCTGCATGAGGAGATCTGGCTGCGCCGCCCACCTGGCTTTACTGGGTCGTTTCCCCCTGGTACCCAGTGGAGTCTCCGCCGGCCAGTCTACGGTCTCCGCCAGGCGCCACGTGAGTGGCACGACACACTGAGGACTACACTTGCGGCTCTTGGGTTCGCGCCGTCTACTGCTGACCCGTCGCTGTTTCTGCGCACAGACACGTCGCTGCCGCCGTTCTACATTCTCGTGTACGTCGACGACTTGGTCTTTGCTACTGCTGACACTGAGGCACTCGCTCGTGTGAAGTCGGAGCTGCAGAAGAGACACACCTGCACTGACCTGGGTGAACTGCGTAGCTACCTTGGCTTGCAGATCACCCGGGACAGAGCTCGCCGCACCATCACCCTGACTCAGTCACACATGGTGCAACAGGTCCTTCAGCGCTTCGGCTTCCAGTTCTCCTCACCACAGGCCACACCTCTGGCTACCAGCCACTCGCTCTCAGCTCCACCTTCGGACGAGTCCGTAGAGCCGAGTGGCCCGTACCCAGAGCTTGTAGGCTGCCTCATGTACCTGATGACCTGCACGCGACCTGACCTCGCGTACCCTCTTAGCATCCTTGCTCGTTACGTTGCGCCTGGGAGACACAGGCGAGAGCACTGGGAGGCTGCTAAGAGGGTGCTGCGTTACTTGTGCAGTACATCAGGCATGGGGCTGGTGCTTGGAGGACGCGACAGAGTTGTCCTCACTGGTCACTCGGACGCTTCTTGGGTGGACGACCTGGCTACGCAGCGGTCGTCACAGGGTTACACCTTCAGCCTTGGCTCTGGTTCTGTCTCGTGGCGGTCCACCCGCTCTTCCTCTGTTCTCGGCTCTAGTTGTGAGGCTGAGATCTACGCCACAGCCATGGCTGCACAGGAGTTACGCTGGCTCACCTACCTGCTGACTGACTTGGGAGAGCGGCCTAGTTCTCCTCCAGTTCTGTACGGTGACAACAAGGCGGCTCTTGCCTTGTGTCAGGAGCACAGACTGGAGCACAGGACGAAGCACATTGCTCTTCGCTACTTTCTTGCTCGAGAGCTTCAGCAGCGCGGTCAGCTTCGGCTTGTGTACGTGGACTCGAAGGCCAACACTGCTGATATCTTCACCAAGGCGCTCCCGCCTAGTGATCATCAGCGGCACTGTACTTCTTTAGGCCTTGTGTCCACATTTCCTCACTTGCTCACTGCTTGACATTCTTTGTACTGTACTTTATATATATCTTGTTGCTTGCTTGCTAGGTTTTGATCACTGTGTTGCTTGTCTTGTACTATATCTAGCACTGCATGTGAACTGGCCTTGTGGCCTTTACTTGTGCTCGGAGTGTGGTGACGTTGTGATCCACCCTGGGCTTTGCTTTGCTTTGCTGGACTGGTCTTGTGACCCTTTGTTCTCCCCCACTTTGCCTATGGGGGTGTGTTAAACTGTATTATGCTTGTAGGCTGTAGTGGGGTAGCCAATATGGGGTACAACCCCAACTAGGGTTTCATATTTGTACCCAAACTTCTGCTAGTTCATCCATTCTTGCCTAGTTCTTCTGAGAGTCGTCATTAGCCGAATATAGTTACGCCCATCTCCGTTCTATGCTAAGACTTTAGTAGCACATAGAGACGGCCCTTCCCGTCGACTTTTCCGCGCATAACAAGTGCGGTCTGGTAGCCAACAGCAAGCACAGAACGCCGCCTCGATTGATCGCCATCGTAAGAATCACTCGTCGCCACTGACGGTTATATCGCGTTAGCCGACACTCGCATAGCCAATAGCGAAATCGGCTATGACACCTCGACAATCACTCCCGTCCATCCCTTCCCGCACTCAATCCTGTCATTCACAGACTGCTGTCGCTCTCCCGCTTCTGTCATCCACACTCGCCGCAGTTGTGAACTGGAAGAGCGATAATGTGCACAAGATGGATTATACGTTTTTTTTACTAGGGGAATAACTGACTTCACACTGTCTCATCTGCATGGTTTATGTCCCCTTTTTGGCTGGCATAAATATATTCCAGCAAATCGCCCATCTCAAGGCTTTATTTTTCATTTACGGTACCCTAAAACATTTTTTACAAGTTTCTAAATCGGTCTTACATGCTGCGATCAGATGTTGATCGTTGCCAGGATCTACTCGGGAAGGTTCGCACAGAGAAATGAAGTTGGTGGGCCCTTGACCTCAATAGCAGAGTGGATGTAAAATGCTTGAGATGATTAAAACATGCAAATACAACGATATAAATAAGAGTACAGGGAAGGCGAAACGTCCTAGCTAGCCATGTACTCTAAGGGGTACATTCCCTTATTCAAATTCATTCCCAACCGTGCGGCGCGTACAGTTGCAGTAACTGTTCCCGCCAAAGCCATCCTGCCTGCAGCTGTCGATGCCATCTGTCCAGACGGTCCAGATGTGCTGTAACTGTCTGACGCTTCGAGTCAATTCTTAACCGTCTGACTCTTCGCGTTCGTTCTCGATACTGCATGCTTCCTTTGCTGCGGTGAGGAGTGCACGGCAACATTCGGGTATTACTATTCATAACACCCCCCTTCACTCCTGGCCGTAGCTCGACTTGACCTGCTTGACCACGCCGCTGAGTTTGGAGCAGTGCTGATACTGCTGGCGTGGCAGTCGCTTCGTGAGGAAGTCCGCTGCCATGTCACCGGTCGGGCAATAGGTCAAGTTGACCTTGCCCTTGTCTACTTCGTCCTTCACGAAGAAATACCGCAGCGCAATGTGCTTGGTGCGGTTGACGAAACCAGGTTTGTTTGCGATGCGGATCGCGCTCTGGTTGTCACAGTGAAGACGAAAGGTGGGCGAAGCCGGAATTTTCGCCTCCTGTAGGAGTTCGTGTAAGTAAAGTCCTTCGCAAACTGCTGCGGTTGCTGCGATGAACTCCGCTTCGGCTGATGACAAGGCAACCAACTCCTGCTTATGTGAATTCCAGGAGATTGGTCCCGTTGGTTCGAGTCGGAACAGGAAGCCGGTCCTGGACCGTCGATTGTCGGGATCTGCTGCATGATCGGCATCCACATAGCCGATGAGATTGAAGGATGGGGTTGGTGTAGTTGAGTAGCATAGCCCAATCTTGGGCGTTGAGACGAGGTACTGCAGGGCGCGTAGATCCAAAAGATTCTCAGCCGTTGGTTTGCGTGAGTACTGGGCCAGCTGACTTGCGATGTAGGAGAGGTCTGGCCTGCAGGTGACAGAGGCGAAAAGGAGGCATCCCAGCTGCTGCTGGTAAGTCTGAATTCCAGCAGGGGGTAGGGCTTTGTTGTCAGGTTTGTGGTTCGGTCCAGGGGTTCGGTAGGGAGTTGAGAGAGGTGCAGGTGAAATGTTGAACCTCTTCCCTAGCTCCTTTGCGTACTTAGCCGCTGAAAGGTAAATGGCCTCAGGCGCGTAGGAGATGTTGAGGCCTAAGAACTGCTTCACCTCATAGTTGCATGTGATGTCGACGCGCCCCGCCAAGGCTTTCTCGAACTGCTCGAGTAGCTCGTTGTTTGAGCCTGTGTAGAGCAGATCATCGACGTAAACCGTGAGAAGAATGTATTCGCCCCGGGAGTCGCGGCGGTACATCCCTGGATCGTGCGGCATCTGCTTGAATCCGATTTCAAGCAGGATGTTGTGTAGATACTGCTGCCACAGCCTCGGTGCCTGCTTGATCACCTAGAGTGACTTGCGTAGTTGGCAAATGCGCGAGTCCCCTTCACCGTATGTATGCGGCTGCTCCACGTAAATCACGGCGTCTACTAGCGCGTATAAGAACGCGTTCTTGACGTCAATCTGGCGGAGCGGTAGGTGCCTTGCAGCTGCGATAGCGAGCAGGATTCGAACGGAGGTATGACGGCTGACTGGAGCAAACGTCTGGTCGAAGTCAATCCCGTGCCTTTGGTCATAACCGCGCACTACCAAGCGCGCCTTGAAGCGCTCGATCGTTCCGTCCGCTGCGGTCTTCACGCGGAAGACCCACTTGCCCGAGAGGATCCTTGCGCCTTTGATTGCCGCACGGTCGACTAACACCCAGGTGTCTCGGGACTCGAGCGCTTTAATCTCTGCGTCCATTGCCTCGCGCCACTCCTTGCTGTGTGGTCCAGAGAGAGCTTCGCGCGGGTTTCGAGGCTCGATGACGCGTGGCGCTTTCGAGGTTGCAGTGTGAAGCCCGAGTAGCTGCAGACCTGAGACAGTGCTGTCGTTGCGCCGTTGTGGGATGACTTCCTGCACATCGTCATCATCGCTCTCTGGTTCAGGTGGCGCTGGTGGTGCTGTGCTTCTGCCGCTTCCGCCTGCTCCGCCCATTCCTCCTTCTGAGGAATCGTCGTCGTCGTCGCTGCTGCGCCGATCCTCCCATGTGAACTCGCCTCTTGTATCCTGCTCCAGTATTGCTGCAGCGGCTTCGTCTTCGGGCGTTGCGTAGCTGTGCCCGTCGTTCGTTTAAACGCGATTCGCGTTCGTTTCCTCGTCGTGACGGAATTGGTCGAGGAAGAGGCGCTCGTAGAAGATTACGTCGCGAGCGTGGGCGGTTTTCTGACTGAAGATGTCCAGCACGATCCACGCTTTGTACTCGTGGCTGATGCCGAGGTGGATTCCCCAGCGCGCGCGACTGGCGAATTTGCCGATGGTTGATGTCAGTTGGCGGTACTGCACCATGCACCCCCATACGCGGAGCATGGAGGTATCTCCCTTGGTCCCGGTCCATTTGACATGCGGGGAGAGATTTCCGGTGATTGCAGTGGTTGAAAGCAGGTTGTGCACCCGCACGGCGTGGTGCATCGCGTAGGTCCAGTAGATCGGCGGCAGCTTTGACTGCTTCATTAGCGCCCGCACCTTCGTCATCAGTGTGCGGTTCGTCCGCTCAGCTACGCCCTGCTGCTGATGTGCGTAGGGGAGAGAAATGTGATGCTCGATCCCCTTTTGCGCCAGGTAGCTCTGCATTTGATTGCTCCTAAACTCCGCTGCGCCGTCGGATTGCCAGATTTTTAGCTTCTTCCCGGATTGCCGCTGCGCATGCGCCAACCAGAGGCGGAACACCTCGTAAGCTCTGTCGCGGGTCTCCACATTTGCGACCCATACGTAGCGCGTTCCAGCGTCGATGAAGGTAAGTGTGTACAGCTCGTCGTCGACTCCGCAATGCCCCACGTTGAGAAAATCGCTGTACACTTTGTGCAGCTTGGGGTAGCGGTTCGTTCCTGGCTCGAGCAGCGGGAACGGCTGGTGGCTTAACGCGGCTTCGGGGCAGACGGTGCAGTTGCGCGGATGTGTCGCGCCTCTCACTTCGGTGCCGTCGGGGCGGAGTAATGCTCCCGGGGCAAAGACTCCGGCGTCGATGCAGTTCTTCAGTGTGGCGTGTGAAGGGTGTCCGAGGCGCTGGTGCCAAAGTGCATCGTCGGCGCGAAAGCCGGAGGTGCGCATGTAGCGCGCGCGGGCTTCTTCAGGGTCTTCATCAGGTACGGGAGCAGGTTCTGCTGCTGCTTCCTCTGCATCTTCTTCTTCTGCCGCGGTAGTCAGCATCAGCGCCAGAAACTCTCTGTCACGAATCTCAGAGAGTGGAATGTTGGTCCCGGGAATAATTCCGGGCACGAAAGTAGGTTCGCGCGGTTCGGGAGCAGGTCCGTAGACGGTGCGGCGTGGAGTTGATGGTTCGTTGCCCCAGCGGATAGTGTCCCAGGGATCGCGGTGCGGCGGAATGTCAGGGGGGGGTGACACGAGTGGGATATGGCGCGGTGGACGCCCGAGGGGAACAACTGCAGATTCTCCCCCCTTTTGTTCGTCGCGAGAAGTTTCCCAGCCTCCAGCAGAGGCGCCCCAGCCGCTCGTTTCGCCGCCAGATGCGGCGCCCCATCCGCCGGTTCCGGTTGCCCATGTTCCGCCGTTGTTGCCCAATCCGCTGGTATCGGCTGTTCGCCATCCGCTGGTCCCCCACCCCCCTTCATTGGAGGCGCTTTCTTCTGCTTCGGCGCCCCATGCGGCGCAAGCGAATGTTCCGCGTGCCTCGGCGAGGCTCTGTTGGCGAAGCTCTTCTGCTTCGCGGCGCGCCAATTCTTCCTCCTGTTCCACGGTGAGTTTTGCCGTGGGGTCGCGCCAATGGGGGTAAATCTGTAGGAAGGCTTCGAGGGTGTAGGGTCGTGGCACGCCACGCGCATCAAAGGTGCCGACGCCAGTTCCGCGTAGCATCCCTCGAAGGTGTTGAGAGGGGGGACCGATGAGAGGGTGCTCAGGCGTGCCGAACACGCCATGCGTGGTGACTTCAAGCTCTAATTGAGACATGCCTTCTTCTGGCAGCGCATGAAGTTATGCTTCGGCGATGGCGGCCAGTCCGCGGCCGGCAACGGCGCTGGTTGACGTCGTCGGCGTGTGGCAATCCCTGCAGATGCCATCTGTGTCAGGGTCGTGCAGCGCCGTTTCGCGTGGGTGGGGATGGTGCGGCACCCACGGTCTTCCGTCAGGGTGCTTCCAGTCCCTGCGGTGGATGTGCTCGAAGCGTAGTGGCACGAGGTCGATTAACTCGTGCGAGTCGCCGCTGCAGTCGGGGATGTCGAAGTCTAGGACATACACTCCATTCTCGGAGTGTGCTCGTCCGATCTGCCTGCGGGGGAAGTTTCGGGACTCGTAGTGCAGCAGAATGTCGCGCGTCGCGCGATCCGTGCTGAGTTCGACGCCGCAGTCCATGAGCTGTGCGGCGGAGAGCAGGTTGAAGCGCAGGTTCTGGACGATCAGCACATCGTTGAGTGTGATGTGCGTGCGGCTTCCGCGTGCCTTGAGCACGACGATGCCTTGCGCACTTGCGCGCAGGCGTGTGTTGTTAGCCACGGTGACGTAGGTGACTGTCGGGGTGGCGACGGCGTTGGATATGTAACGCTCGGAGCCCACCATGTGCTGGCCGCAGCAGCTATCCAGGTACCAGGTGTTGAAGCGCTTGTTGTCGTCACGTGCGAGCAGCGCCAGTCGCGGCGTGACGATGTGCGGAGTGTCGAACTTCAGAAATTGCTCGCGCGAGAGCCAATCAAGTGGCGCCACCCGCATATCAGGTACGTGCGGGGGACTTTCAAGCAGCGGGACTGGAAGATTCCAGTCCTGGGCGTCGTCGTCGGTGAAGTCGTGGCGCGAGCTAAAAGGGTTGTTGTTGTTCAACGCGCCAATGGGGTGCGGTGCGGGCTCAGGTGAAGGTGAGCGCACGCGGCGACGACGCGATTCGCCTGTCATGGCCATGTTGCTCATGACGTTGCGTACTGGGGCAGTCGATGGTGACTACTGCTGCTGATGCTGAACTGTTGGGTTCAGGTTGCGCGCGGTTGGGGGTTGATACCCCTGGGCTGGACGCACGTCGCCTCGTGCGTCTTGTCGGCCGGACCAGTTGCTCGGATTGGTCTGGCGAGGGCGGGATCGGTACTTGCATCGATCCGCCAAATGCCCAAAGTTCCTGCAGATTTTGCAGTAGAGGCGCCTCGGCCGTCGCTCTTCGTTGTTGTCGGCGTAGAAGGCGAGCCGTTCTCTTTCTCGTCGTGGCGCTGGTCGCTGCTGATCCATATCCCGTTGTTCGACGAGAAGTGCGGCGCAGAGGGCGGCCTCCGAGATGACCCCCTGCTGTCGGAGAAGCGCCTTACAGGGCCGCCATTCTGGGCCGAGCCCTTGAAGCACGATGTTCACGAAGATTTCTTCGGAGATCGAACTTCCTAGCTTCACGATTTGATCGCGAAGGCTCCGACAGCGATTGATGTAGCTGTTGACCTTCTCCCCTGAGACCATTTTGGTCTCCAGCAGCTGCTGAAGTAGTCGACTCGAGGACACGGAATCTTCGGCTGATACACGCCGTTCAGGTGGCGCCAGGCGTCGAGGGCTGGAGCAGCCGATGTCTTGTACGATCGGATGTTCAGTTGCTCCGCCGGCGACATGTTGCGAAGGAGAATTCCGTACGCCATCAGGGACTCGTTGTAGTAGCGAGTCCTGGCGTCGTCGGTGTCCTCAGCGGGTTCCGCGTAGCTCCCGTCGAAATAATGGTAAATTTGGGCGTTCTGCAGCAAGAGCTCCAATTCGAAGCTCCAGGTATAGAAGTCTCTGCCGTCGAAACAGGTACTTGTCTTTATTTTTGATATGCTGAGAAACTTTGATTGTGCTGAGAGAATTGCTTCCTCACTGGGACGGGGAGCCTTGGGGGTTGAGCCATTTGTGTCGAGGGAGAAGGTTTGCGGGACGGCGTTCTGCCCAGTTGGGGCCGGTTGAGATGGTTGCGAGGATGTTCCCGCATCGCCGTTCCGTAATGTTTGGAGCCCTTGCTCCAAGCTGGTGAGTCGCTGAAGAAGTTGTGCGAGGACTTCGGTGCCGATCGTCATTGTTTCCTCGCTCGTCGCAGCCGGATTGGGTTGCGCTTCAGCCGTCAGATTAGTCTGACCACCAGATCCTCCGGCCATTCTTACACGCGATCGTGTGCCGGACGCCACTTTCCGAATGTCGCAATTTTCGGGAGTGGCAGTGCGAAGGATTCCCGAGCCGCTCTCATACCATGCTGCGATCAGAAGTTGATCGTTGCCAGGATCTACTCGGGAAGGTTCGCACAGAGAAATGAAGTTGGTGGGCCCTTGACCTCAATAGCAGAGTGGATGTAAAATGCTTGAGATGATTAAAACATGCAAATACAACGATATAAATAAGAGTACAGGGAAGGCGAAACGTCCTAGCTAGCCATGTACTCTAAGGGGTACATTCCCTTATTCAAATTCATTCCCAACCGTGCGGCGCGTACAGTTGCAGTAACTGTTCCCGCCAAAGCCATCCTGCCTGCAGCTGTCGATGCCATCTGTCCCGACAGTCCAGATGTGCTGTAACTGTCAGACGCTTCGAGTCAGTTCTTAACCGTCTGACTCTTCGCGTTCGTTCTCGATACTGCATGCTTCCTTTGCTGCGGTGAGGAGTGCACGGCAACATTCGGGTATTACTATTCGTAACATTACATATGTTGAAAAACATTTTGTAACAGCTTTGTCAATATTCCAGAATCCCTCAAGGAGACGGAGAGGGGGGCAAGGCAAGGATGTGCTCTTCCAAAGCCTTGGCTATGTACGGCTGCGAGACGAGAGATGGGCTAAGCCGCCATGGACGGGGGGCTCTGGCTGGAAGCTCGACAGCAATGGAGCAGAGTGGAGCGTAGGAGTGGTCAGATATGATGAGGGGGGTGAGGAGGTATGCTCTCACGCTACGCCTCAAAAGATTTTCCAACCATGAACGACGACGTGTACACAAGACGCTTGAGCATCTTCATCACCTCACTTACAATTACAGTCTGCAATCTCCCCTTTAGACTCGGAATCGGCATCTCGCCTGTGCAAGGCCCAGCAGCAGCTCGCAAGATGCACTGCCGCTAAAGCCGCTGAACTTGCTCTCAAAGCCAAACTCAAGGTTGAGGGCCATCGCGAGATGGGAATTTCATCTCTTCTCGCAGGACTAAACTCCCGCATTACCTCCCTCACCCTGCCTGGTGGACAAACTATTAGCGATCTCCCCTCCATGACAACTGCCTGTTCTAGTTTCTTCGAATCTCTTTACAGTGGCGTCCCATCCGCCTCCCCCAATCCCGGCTTTTGGGAACACATCCCTCGTTCCTCCCCCCCCCTGCCCTCGCCTCTACACTCGCAGCCCCTTTCTCCCTCCTTGAAGTTGGCAAAGCCCTTGGTCATCTCTCGCGAGGGAAGACCCCAGGCCCAGATGGACTCCCTGGAGAATTATTCAGGTTTTACAAGATTCGCCTCGCTGCGGCCTTCCTGGCCCTCCTGGCCTCCCCGCCCTCCTCCCTGCCCCCCTCTATGCTCTCCGGTCGGACGGTGCTCATCCCCAAAAAAGGGGATGCCTCCCTAATAGATAATCTACGCCCCATCACCCTCATGAACGCAGACTACAAGGTTTTAGCCCTCTGCTTGGCCGACCGACTCCAACGCCTCCTTCCTCTCGTTATACATCCTTCTCAAACGGCTTTCATCAAACACCGCAAGATCGGCGATACAATTAACGACACGCTCGATATTATGGATTGGGCTACCTTCACACACACACCCCTCCTCGCCTTGACGGCGGACTTTCGTAAGGCCTACGATCTGCTAGACCGGCCTTTCTTATTTCAGGCTCTTTCCCATCTTAGCGTCCCGGAGGGCTTCATCCAGTGGATCCGCCTCATGCACTCCAACACTTCTACCCGCATCGCTGTCAATAACATGGACGGTGCCCCTCTTCCGGTGCGCACTGGCGTCCGGCGGGGTTGTCCACTCGCCCCCCTCCTGTTCGTCTGCGCCATCGAGATTTTGCATCGCTACATGTCTTTATACCTCCCTGGCTTCCCCCTATCGCCTACAAACAAGCGCCTCATGGCCTGCTATGTAGATGACGTTACAATCTTCCTCTCGTCCGACAAGGAACTCGAAACGGCCACTGCCCATCTCCTGATCTTTGCGGCAGTCTCTGGTGAACGCCCGAACTGGAATAAATGTTCCATTATCCCATTCAATATCCCGGACCGCTTCATCACCCACGCAGGTCACATCCCTATACGGGCTTCCAATGAGGATGAACGAATTCTCGGAATTTTTGTCGAGAAAAATCTATCCAACACCGACACCTGGACTACCACTCTGTCTCGCATCGAACGCTCCACCAAGTTCTTAGCTGCCCTCCGCGCGACCGCCACATGTCGCAAGTCTCTCGCCTCTACTTTCCTTAATTCAGTTCTCTCCTTCCCTGGTCGGTTCCAGCCTCCCCCACCTGGCATACTTGTCAGGAACACATATCCCCTGTTTCACCTCTAGCTCCACTCCCACATCACCCCCCTAGCGCCACTCCCTTCGGCTCCCACACCTCCACCCCCCTCAGCGGCAGCTGCAGCAGTGGGAGACGAAGGAGGAGGAAGGGACGACGCACACGGAGCACCCCCATACCTGTCACCCCCACACTCCTGTCCTGGGGACCGGGGGGGGGGGGGGGGGCAGAACAGAACAGAGCGCACAGGGGCGCGGGCAGCAGCAGGGCGCACGAGGGCGCGGGTAGTAGTAGAGCGCACGAGGGCGCGGGTAGTAGTAGAGCGCACGAGGGCGCGGGCAGCAGCAGGGCGCACGAGGGCGCGGGCAGCAGCAGAGCGCACGAGGGCGCGGGTAGTAGTAGAGCGCACGAGGGCGCGGGTAGTAGTAGAGCGCACGAGGGCGCGGGCAGCAGCAGGGCGCACGAGGGCGCGGGCAGCAGCAGGGCGCACGAGGGCGCGGGCAGCAGCAGAGCGCACGAGGGCGCGGGTAGTAGTAGAGCGCACGAGGGCGCGGGCAGCAGCAGGGCGCACGAGGGCGCGGGCAGCAGCAGAGCGCACGAGGGCGCGGGTAGTAGTAGAGCGCACGAGGGCGCGGGCAGCAGCAGGGCGCACGAGGGCGCGGGCAGCAGCAGGGCGCACGAGGGCGCGGGCAGCAGCAGAGCGCACGAGGGCGCGGGTAGTAGTAGAGCGCACGAGGGCGCGGGCAGCTGCTGCAGAGGTCCAGAGGCGGCTGCTCCAGGGGCCAGAAGCGGCTGCTGCCGGGGCGGCTGCTCCAGGTGCCAGGGGCGGCTGCTGCAGCGGCGGGCGGCTCCAGGGGCGGTTGCTGCAGTGGCGGGCGACTCCAGGGGCGGCTGCTGCAGTGGCGGGCGGCTCCAGGGGCGGCTGCTGCAGTGGCGGGCGACTCCAGGGGCGGCTGCTGCAGTGGCAGGCGGCTCCAGGGGCGGCTGCTGCAGGGGCGGCTGCTCCAGGGGCGGCTGCTGCAGTGGCGGGCGACTCCAGGGGCGGCTGCTGCAGTGGCGGGCGGCTCCAGGGGCGGCTGCTGTAGTGGCGGGCGGCTCCAGGGGCGGCTGCTGCAGTGGCGGGCGACTCCAGGGGCGGCTGCTGCAGTGGCGGGCGGCTCCAGGGGCGGCTGCTGCAGTGGCGGGCGACTCCAGGGGCGGCTGCTGCAGTGGCGGGCTGCTCCAGGGGCGGCTGCTGCAGCGGCGGGCGGCTCCAGGGGCGGCTGCTGCAGTGGCGGGCGGCTCCAGTGAGGCGCGGGCTGGTCTGGCACAGTCCGTACGGGCCGCGCGCGGGCCTGGCGCAGCCCGTACGGGCCGCGCGCGGGCCCGACGTAGGTCGCGTGGGCCACGACGGGCGACGGGGGGCGACGCGCGGGTCCCCGTCGCCCGTCGCAGCGCCTCCCGGGGGCGACGCGCGGAGTGACGGGGCAGAAAGCCGCCGCGCGCCTCGGGGCGCACGGCGGGCAGAAAACCGCCGCGCGCCTCGGGGCGCACGGCGGGCAGAAAACCGCCGCACGCTCCGAGCGCGCGGCGGGATGAACAAAAAAAAAATCCGTCGCACGCCACGGGGCGTGCAGCGCATTGAGTAGCAGTAGCAGCGGAAGCAGAAATGTGGTGGGCCCATTGAGGTAAGCATCAGGAACGTGCTCGCTCTGATACCATGTCAGGAACACTAAGAGTGGGGCCTAGGCTTAGTAGCCTAGGCCCACACATAGAGTAGGTAGGTTGTGCCCTAGAGCTAGGGTTTGGGGTATACGAAGGAGAGTTAGAGAAGAGGAATGATGGAGAATGATTGAACTAGCAAGCAGGTTGGTACAAATAGGAAACCCTAAAGGGGTTGTACTCACTATTGAGCACCCCACTGCAGGCTAGACAAATAACATAATCTGACAATACTTGCTAGGCTGGATACTGTAGTGAGCACCTTCCTCTCATCGTCCCGGTTTAAGGAAACTGGTTTTGCCATGCCCATAATCCCATACCGGCTTCTTTACAACTCGACGAGATACGGAGGCCTTGGCGCTACCCGCCCATCCATTCAAATTAAGGCCCTCACGATCCAACGTGCCCTCCACCGCTTTGGTGCAACGCCCTCTGAGGAGGTCGCACGCTGTGCAATCTCCCTTCCTTTTGGCTCTCACGCTTTCCTCTCCCACAAGCTGATTCTGTCGGCCAATACTCTGCCCCCCTCCATCCCCCCTCGCGCTCTTGCAGAACTCAAAGACTTCCTGTCCCTCCCTACTGCCGTGGCCCCTCCGCCTCTCTCTTCGCTGTGCCTGCTCGCTGAACCAACAGCGTTCAACCGCTTCATCCCCAAACCCAACGGCAGACCTTTTGGTACCACCAAATTTGAGCGGTTTAAACTGTCTGAACAGGTCAGGCTTGGCGACATTATCCAAATTTCACTCGACGGGCTCGGTCCTATCCCCGAAAACGTGTTTGCCACCAAATACCCGCTCACCGACCTTCAACCCAGTTACCAAGTTATCTGTGCAGTCCTGGAGGCTGTTCCCAAACCATGGAAGAACGAGATTCGTGCCCCCTCCCTTGCCTCCGCCTCCCCGGGGGAATATTTCATTCCGAAGGAAGACCTACACTCCCCCCCTTCCCTCATTCTACAAACAACCTCGTTCTCCCCTCCTTTCACGCTCTCCGCCATCTTTCATCGGGTACTGTCAAACGGATTCTTTGAGCGTGCACCCTTTGGGTCAGGGGTTTTCAACATTAAAGATGTCGTGGCGGTTCACACCCACATTGGGTGGCTGGTCCGCTACATACAGGTGCAGGGCTCGGCGCGCGGTTGGAGATTCTTCGTGATGGTGTCCCGAGCCTCGCTGCTATCCGACAACTACTTTATACGCGGCGCCCGCTCGACCACGACTCACGTTGGACCCTCGCTCTCTCCTCCCCCTTACCCGTCCCCCTCCCCGATCTCTCCCACACCTTCCTTCGCGAGCAACCCAGCCTTCAACGCGATCTTCTATACCGCTTCTACACGCGCTCTCTTCCTTCAGGCACCCGGTTCCTGTTCTCTGCAGATAGAGGTCGCTGCTCGCGCTGCTCCTCCAACGAGACTGAGACCATCTCACATATCTTCTTTGTCTGCGGAGCAGCACCTGATGTGACGGCAGCATTGGGCTCAGTTACTCGACGCCACTTGGGCTGCTCCCCTCCGACCGAGCACATCATGTTTCCGCTCCCTTCTCGAGCTGGCCAGTCTGCCCCCTGGAGCCTCCTGGTAGGCGCTGCGGCCAAGGCCCTTTGGAATGCTCGCTGCACTCAGAGATCTAACGGCGTCGTCTCCTCTCGCTTCGAGATCTTGCAACTCATTCTTGCTCAGTTTCTCTTGGTCTTCAAGATTTTCCTTTGGCGACGCTCTAAACAATTTGAAAAAAAACAGCAAAAATCAGCGCCATGCATTCGTGCGGCTATACGACTTCGCTTCATCTCCTTCGCAGCCGACGGCTCCCCATCCATTCATCCTGACCTCCGCACCTCGTGGCTCCTTGGAAACCCTTTTCGTCCCCCGTAACTTGGTTCTATCCTCTTCACAGGATACTCCCCAGCGAAGCTGGTGGCTGTCCGCTAGGATAGGGGAATAACGTGTTCAACACGTACACCTTAAGGTTGTTGGCGACTTCAGCCATATTCTCTGCTATTCTGTGATTTTGTATGTAATGATTACGATCATAATATATTCCTATTCCAGAATCCCTCAAGGCATCTCAGCTTCTGGCAAATAGTGGCATTTTTGTCCTTTCTGCAGCCAGCCTTGTTTCTTGAGCTCGAAAGCTGGGTTGGGTTGTACTTCCCGCTTCTACCCTTCGCCACACCTGTTTTGCGAATTTTTCTGTCGCCACCCTTCGCAAACCTAACTTCAACTTCAGTAAATATGAAAGTTAGCCATTCTAGACTCGGGCTAAGAAACACTTCTGAAAGGATATTCCCAAAATGTGAAATCGATTATGTAGGGTTGCTACGCGACCCAAAAATATAAAACGTAACAGATTCTAACCCGCTTCCCTGCACGAACACCTCGCGTGTATTTTTCGCGAGGCCCTCAGTCGCACAATTATGATCCCAACGAACGCCCCGCAACCCCCGCTCCTGGGAACTCGCAAGGGCGATAATTGCTGCGCAGATAGAACTGCATGCTTCAGAATCTCAATATCACTGATGGGGGAACACCTGTGCCGGGCCAAGCGAGCCGATCCAAGCGGGGTCGCAGCCATCCGCGTCAACCATAGGCAGGAGAGGGGCGGCGAGGCGTAGCATTTCAAAGCCGAAGCATTTTCGAGACTGGAATCGCGGAGAGCATCCACCGCCGTGCTTTGCGGCGAGCCGCTCCAGCAAATGGCGCCAAATGATGGTGCAGCGAGCGACGATTATTCAACTTTCCAGGGGGGCCCTGGGGTTGCGGCGGAGGGCACAGGCCCGTGCCTCCATAGGCATCCATCTCGGCCATCCACGCGTGTTGTGCAAATGCTCAGAATAATGCGAACCGCATTCGTGGCCAGTAGTCCTTGCGAGTCCTCGCTTCCGCTCGCTTTCGCGTTCCTCTCTTGCTTGATTGTTCCCTCTTACATGCTTCGTCGCACCGATTCTTCACGAAGCAACACGCATATCACCACAAGAGCCGCGGCACCTTATTCCGCGACGGTGGGAGAAACTCGGCGCGAAGCTACGATCTCCCTCTGGCGAGCAATCAGTCCTTTCGACACAGCATCAAGAGCATCAAGAGCTGCAAGAGCTTCAGAGTAGCAGGCGCACTGAAGGATCCGCGCCCTACAAGCAGCACGAGGTCTCTCTGCATCCGCGCTGCTCGCCGTCGCTACGGCCCGTGGCACCCACCCGCCATGCTGCGCTCATGGAGCGGCGGCGGCGGCGGCGGCTCCGGCGGCGGCGTGGGTGGCATGAAGGGCGCGGCGTGGGCGCGGGTGGCGCTGCTAGTGCTGGTGTGGCTGGGCGCTGCGATCCAATTGTCGCGTGCTGCGCCCACCACCATCAACGACGCTGACGGTGCGCTCTTCTCCCCTCGCTCCCCTCGCTCCCCTCGCTCTTTCCCCCTCTCGCTCTCCGCCTCTCGCTTCCCCTCTCCCTCTCCCGCCTCTCCCGCATCTCCTTCCCGCTCGTGCTCCCTTCCATTCCATTCCTCGCACCTCGGAACGACCTCGGCGCGGCCCACCTTCCTGTGGCACGAATGGAATCGGCGTGGCCATGTGGCATGGAACCGCACCACATTTCATGGTGCATCATGGTGTGCTGTGTGGCTGGCTGCTGCGTGCAGGCGGCGTGCTGCAGGAGTGCCAGGCGGCGTGGGGAGTGACGATGGAGGGGTGGAAGGCGGGCAGCGACTGCAATCTGGCCGCGCACACGCTCGAGTGCAGTGCGGAGGGCAGGGTGCTGGGCATGTGAGTCGCCTTGCGCTCTTTGAGACGTGTCACTGCCAGAGTGCAACCGGGAGGGCTGGGGTGAGGGCAGGGTGCAGGGCATGGGAGTGAGCCGCCCTGCGCACGTGGACGCGTCTCCACTGTCAAGACTGCTCCCAGTCCAAGTCGAGCCGTCCTAGCTCCCTCCCCTCTAATTTCTTCCCTCTTCCCCCCACATCTGCGAACCGCCTTCCATGCTGCTCTCTCCACCTCCCCCCACAAGCCAACCCCCTACTCACCCGACTGTGCTCACGCAGCTTCAAGCCTCCCACCTCGCCTTCCCCCGTGCGCGCATCATCGATCGGCTGATCGCGCGCCCCGAGCCACCTCCATGCACGCGCTGCATGTTGTTCGTTTCAATCCGTTTCGTATGAAGCGCACTGCACTCCGATCTCCAGCATTTCCACGTGTTATTTCCCAAGTTGCTTGCAGCCCCATACGTAGCGATCCAAGGGCACCAGCATCGCACTCCCATGCGCCATGTGTTATTCGTCTCCACACGCCAACTTTCCCCCGTTCCCTTCCTCCTTCCCCCCCTGTCCTGCACCCGTCCCCGTGCCATGCGCCACGAGAGCAGCAATGTGCGCAACAGGAACCTCACAGGGTCCCTCCCAGCGTCCATCGGCAACCTTGCTGACCTCACCATGCTGTACGCCCCTGCACTCCACTGCTTTAGCTGCACCTCTCTGCTACGCCCCTCAACCTCTCTGCTACGCGGCTGCACCCTTTTCCTCTCCGCGCTTGACTCTCTAACGCGCAACCCGTCACGTATCTGCTCCCATCCTGTTTTATCCTTCTCTCCCATCCTCACCTCCTCTCTCCCCTATTCCCCCCTTCGCCCGTTTCTCATTTCTTACCTTCCGTCCCTCTTCCACCGTCCCTCTCCTCGCCTCCACCGCTCTCCCTGGGTGGTCCTGTGTGCAGCGATATAAGCCGCAACAACATCAGTGGGCCCATCCCCGACTCCATCAGTCAGCTCAAGGCTCTTGCTTACTTGTCCGTTGGGGCGCACGCATGGGAACGGGGTGGGGGGATGGGGAGGGGGGAGTACATGAAGGGGTGGGGGAGGAGAGGAAGGGGGACTGACATGCGGTGTCCACTGTTGGATGCGTGGGATACATTAGCCCAGCAGAGAGCTGCACACAACATGCCATGCCATGCCATACAGCCTCTCCCTTTTCCCCATCACAGGGCTTGCATCCTGGCATTCCTCTCCCCATATTCCTGGCATTCCTCTCCCCATATTCCTGGCATTCCTCTCCCCATATTCCTGGCATTCCTCTCCCCATATTGTTATAGCCCCCACACAATGCTCGCTTGCAACCCTCGCTCTTGCCCTCTCCCACTCAACCCCCCCCGCCCCTCCCTGCCTGCCCCGTCCCCGCCCCTCCCCGTCTTCCCCTGCCCCTCCCACGAACCTGAACACACCACACACCACACACCACACACCACACCACGCCACGCCACGCCACACCACGCCACGCCACGCCACGCCACGCCACGCCACGCCACGCCACGCCACGCCACGCCACGCCACACCAGGAACATGGCGTACAACCAGCTGAGCGGACCCATCCCCACTGGCGTAAGCGAGCTACTCAAGCTCTCTGTCCTGTCAGTCTCTACCTCCCTCTCCCACTCCCTCCCACTCTCTTCCACTCCTTCCCACTCTTTCGCACTCATTCTCACTCCCTTCCACTCCCTTCGCATCGCTTCCCACCCCTTTCCCACTCTTTCCTACTTCCCACACTTTCCCACTCCCTCCCACTCCGTCCCACTCCCTCCCACTCCGTCCCTCTCCCTCCCACTCCTTCCCACTCCCTCCCACTCCTTCCCACTCCTCCCACTCTGTCACACTCCCTTCCACTCCCTCTCACTTCCTGCCTCCCACTCCCTCCCCCTACGTTTCACGCCTTCCCCTCGTGCCACGTGCTATCCTAGCTCTCTCATCACCCAGCCCCCCTGAAGCATGCCGTCATGCCTGCCCATGTGCGTGTCCGCACCCAACCACCTCAGCAGCAGCATGGAGGTTCAAGGTGCTCAATACACGACCGCTGAACCCTGCCCGTCACCCCCTTGCCTTGCCCTTCCACCTCTCTGCCCCTCTGCCCCTCTGCCCCTCTGCCCCTCTGCCCCTCTGCCCCTCTGCCCCTCTGCCCCTTGCCCCTTGCCTCTCTGTGCGTGGGTGGCAGGCGGGTGCGGCACAACCAGCTCAACGGCACCATCCCTGACTGCATCTCCCACTGCTCGCTGCTGCAATCGCTGTCAGTCACACACGCCACGCCACGCCATGCCATGCCATCCATACGCGCACCTCCTCGCACTCACTCACAAAGCAACACCGTCCATTCACCTATTGCACAAACGCAATCCTCCCTCCCCACTACGCCCGTGCCTCCTCCCTCCCTGCTTCCCCTGTCTCAATCAATCCTCTGGCAGGCACGTGAGCATCAACCACCTCACCGGCTCGCTTCCTGAAACCCTGGGCCAGCTCTCCAAGCTAAAAAAACTGTGCGTCCCCACATTTTACCTCTCCTCCTACTACTACTCCTCCCCCTCCTATTGCCCCCCCCACTCCCACCCCTCGTCTTTCTCTGTCTCCCCTCGTCTTTCTCTGTCTCCCCTCGTCTTTCTCTGTCTCCCCTCGTCTTTCTCTGTCTCCCCTCGTCTTTCTCTGTCTCCCCTCGTCTTTCTCTGTCTCCCCTCGTCTTTCTCTGTCTCCCCTCGTCTTTCTCTGTCTCCCCTCGTCTTTCTCTGTCTCCCCTCGTCTTTCTCTGTCTCCCCTCGTCTTTCTCTGTCTCCCCTCGTCTTTCTCTGTCTCCCCTCGTCTTTCTCTGTCTCCCCTCGTCTTTCTCTGCCGCTCTCCCCCCCTGTAGCACCTGTCTATGGGTCAATCAGTTTCTTCCCACCACGCACTCCAACCAAACCATGGTTTTTTTCAATCCTTATTATCCCTTTTATCCACCACCGCCCACTCGTTCCCAAGGTCTTCCCCATTGCACGCGCCCCTGATTGCCCTTCATTGCACGCGCCCCTGATTGCCCTTCATTGCACGCGCCCCTGATTGCCCTTCATTCCACGCGCCCCTGATTGCCCTTCATTGCACGCGCCCCTGATTGCCCTTCATTGCACGCGCCCCTGATTGCCCTTCATTGCACGCGCCCCTGATTGCCCTTCATTGCACGCGCCCCTGATTGCCCTTCATTCCACGCGCCCCTGATTGCCCTTCATTGCACGCGCCCCTGATTGCCCTTCATTCCACGCGCCCCTGATTGCCCTTCATTGCACGCGCCCCTGATTGCCCTTCATTCCACGCGCCCCTGATTGCCCTTCATTCCACGCGCCCCTGATTGCCCTTCATTCCACGCGCCCCTGATTGCCCTTCATTCCACGCGCCCCTGATTGCCCTTCATTCCACGCGCCCCTGATTGCCCTTCATTCCACGCGCCCCTGATTGCCCTTCATTCCACGCGCCCCTGATTGCCCTTCATTCCACGCGCCCCTGATTGCCCTTCATTGCACGCGCCCCTGATTGCCCTTCATTGCACGCGCCCCTGATTGCCCTTCATTCCACGCGCCCCTGATTGCCCTTCATTGCACGCGCCCCTGATTGCCCTTCATTCCACGCGCCCCTGATTGCCCTTCATTGCACGCGCCCCTGATTGCCCTTCATTCCACGCGCCCCTGATTGCCCTTCATTCCACGCGCCCCTGATTGCCCTTCATTCCACGCGCCCCTGATTGCCCTTCATTCCACGCGCCCCTGATTGCCCTTCATTCCACGCGCCCCTGATTGCCCTTCATTCCACGCGCCCCTGATTGCCCTTCATTCCACGCGCCCCTGATTGCCCTTCATTCCACGCGCCCCTGATTGCCCTTCATTCCACGCGCCCCTGATTGCCCTTCATTCCACGCGCCCCTGATTGCCCTTCATTGCACGCGCCCCTGATTGCCCTTCATTGCACGCGCCCCTGATTGCCCTTCATTGCACGCGCCCCTGATTGCCCTTCATTCCACGCGCCCCTGATTGCCCTTCATTGCACGCGCCCCTGATTGCCCTTCATTCCACGCGCCCCTGATTGCCCTTCATTGCACGCGCCCCTGATTGCCCTTCATTCCACGCGCCCCTGATTGCCCTTCATTGCACGCGCCCCTGATTGCCCTTCATTCCACGCGCCCCTGATTGCCCTTCATTCCACGCGCCCCTGATTGCCCTTCATTCCACGCGCCCCTGATTGCCCTTCATTGCACGCGCCCCTGATTGCCCTTCATTGCACGCGCCCCTGATTGCCCTTCATTGCACGCGCCCCTGATTGCCCTTCATTCCACGCGCCCCTGATTGCCCTTCATTCCACGCGCCCCTGATTGCCCTTCATTCCATGCGCCCCTGATTGCCCTTTATTGCACGCGCCCCTGATTGCCCTTCATTGCACGCGCCCCTGATTGCCCTTCATTGCACGCGCCCCTGATTGCCCTTCATTGCACGCGCCCCTGATTGCCCTTCATTGCACGCGCCCCTGATTGCCCTTCATTCCACGCGCCCCTGATTGCCCTTCATTCCACGCGCCCCTGATTGCCCTTCATTGCACGCGCCCCTGATTGCCCTTCATTGCACGCGCCCCTGATTGCCCTTCATTGCACGCGCCCCTGATTGCCCTTCATTGCACGCGCCCCTGATTGCCCTTCATTGCACGCGCCCCTGATTGCCCTTCATTGCACGCGCCCCTGATTGCCCTTCATTCCACGCGCCCCTGATTGCCCTTCATTCCACGCGCCCCTGATTGCCCTTCATTGCACGCGCCCCTGATTGCCCTTCATTGCACGCGCCCCTGATTGCCCTTCATTGCACGCGCCCCTGATTGCCCTTCATTGCACGCGCCCCCGATTGCCCTTCATTGCACGCGCCCCTGATTGCCCTTCATTGCACGCGCCCCTGATTGCCCTTCATTCCACGCGCCCCTGATTGCCCTTCATTCCACGCGCCCCTGATTGCCCTTCATTCCACGCGCCCCTGATTGCCCTTCATTCCACGCGCCCCTGATTGCCCTTCATTGCACGCGCCCCTGATTGCCCTTCATTCCACGCGCCCCTGATTGCCCTTCATTCCACGCGCCCCTGATTGCCCTTCATTGCACGCGCCCCTGATTGCCCTTCATTCCACGCGCCCCTGATTGCCCTTCATTCCACGCGCCCCTGATTGCCCTTCATTCCACGCGCCCCTGATTGCCCTTCATTGCACGCGCCCCTGATTGCCCTTCATTGCACGCGCCCCTGATTGCCCTTCATTCCACGCGCCCCTGATTGCCCTTCATTCCACGCGCCCCTGATTGCCCTTCATTCCACGCGCCCCTGATTGCCCTTCATTCCACGCGCCCCTGATTGCCCTTCATTCCACGCGCCCCTGATTGCCCTTCATTCCACGCGCCCCTGATTGCCCTTCATTCCACGCGCCCCTGATTGCCCTTCATTCCACGCGCCCCTGATTGCCCTTCATTCCACGCGCCCCTGATTGCCCTTCATTCCACGCGCCCCTGATTGCCCTTCATTCCACGCGCCCCTGACTGCCCTTCATTCCACGCGCCCCTGATTGCCCTTCATTCCACGCGCCCCTGATTGCCCTTCATTCCACGCGCCCCTGATTGCCCTTCATTCCACGCGCCCCTGATTGCCCTTCATTCCACGCGCCCCTGATTGCCCTTCATTCCACGCGCCCCTGATTGCCCTTCATTCCACGCGCCCCTGATTGCCCTTCATTCCACGCGCCCCTGATTGCCCTTCATTCCACGCGCCCCTGATTGCCCTTCATTCCACGCGCCCCTGATTGCCCTTCATTCCACGCGCCCCTGATTGCCCTTCATTCCACGCGCCCCTGATTGCCCTTCATTCCACGCGCCCCTGATTGCCCTTCATTCCACGCGCCCCTGATTGCCCTTCATTCCACGCGCCCCTGATTGCCCTTCATTCCACGCGCCCCTGATTGCCCTTCATTCCACGCGCCCCTGATTGCCCTTCATTCCACGCGCCCCTGATTGCCCTTCATTCCACGCGCCCCTGATTGCCCTTCATTCCACGCGCCCCTGATTGCCCTTCATTCCACGCGCCCCTGATTGCCCTTCATTCCACGCGCCCCTGATTGCCCTTCATTCCACGCGCCCCTGATTGCCCTTCATTCCACGCGCCCCTGATTGCCCTTCATTCCACGCGCCCCTGATTGCCCTTCATTCCACGCGCCCCTGATTGCCCTTCATTCCACGCGCCCCTGATTGCCCTTCATTCCACGCGCCCCTGATTGCCCTACTACTACTCCTCCCCCTCCTATTGCCCCCCCCACTCCCACCCCTCGTCTTTCTCTGTCTCCCCTCGTCTTTCTCTGCCTCCCCTCGTCTTTCTCTGTCTCCCCTCGTCTTTCTCTGTCTTCCCTCGTCTTTCTCTGTCTCCCCTCGACTTTCTCTGTCTCCCCTCGTCTTTCTCTGTCTCCCCTCGTCTTTCTCTGTCTCCCCTCGTCTTTCTCTGTCTCCCCTCGTCTTTCTCTGTCTCCCCTCGTCTTTCTCTGTCTCCCCTCGTCTTTCTCTGTCTCCCCTCGTCTTTCTCTGTCTCCCCTCGTCTTTCTCTGTCTCCCCTCGTCTTTCTCTGTCTCCCCTCGTCTTTCTCTGCCGCTCTCCCCCCCTGTAGCACCTGTCTATGGGTCAATCAGTTTCTTCCCACCACGCACTCCAACCAAACCATGGTTTTTTTCAATCCTTATTATCCCTTTTATCCACCACCTCCCACTCGTTCCCAAGGTCTTCCCCATTGCACGCGCCCCTGATTGCCCTTCATTGCACGCGCCCCTGATTGCCCTTCATTCCACGCGCCCCTGATTGCCCTTCATTGCACGCGCCCCTGATTGCCCTTCATTGCACGCGCCCCTGATTGCCCTTCATTGCACGCGCCCCTGATTGCCCTTCATTGCACGCGCCCCTGATTGCCCTTCATTGCACGCGCCCCTGATTGCCCTTCATTGCACGCGCCCCTGATTGCCCTTCATTCCACGCGCCCCTGATTGCCCTTCATTCCACGCGCCCCTGATTGCCCTTCATTCCACGCGCCCCTGATTGCCCTTCATTCCACGCGCCCCTGATTGCCCTTCATTCCACGCGCCCCTGATTGCCCTTCATTCCACGCGCCCCTGATTGCCCTTCATTTCACGCGCCCCTGATTGCCCTTCATTCCACGCGCCCCTGATTGCCCTTCATTCCACGCGCCCCTGATTGCCCTTCATTCCACGCGCCCCTGATTGCCCTTCATTGCACGCGCCCCTGATTGCCCTTCATTGCACGCGCCCCTGATTGCCCTTCATTGCACGCGCCCCTGATTGCCCTTCATTGCACGCGCCCCTGATTGCCCTTCATTCCACGCGCCCCTGATTGCCCTTCATTGCACGCGCCCCTGATTGCCCTTCATTGCACGCGCCCCTGATTGCCCTTCATTGCACGCGCCCCTGATTGCCCTTCATTCCACGCGCCCCTGATTGCCCTTCATTGCACGCGCCCCTGATTGCCCTTCATTGCACGCGCCCCTGATTGCCCTTCATTGCACGCGCCCCTGATTGCCCTTCATTGCACGCGCCCCTGATTGCCCTTCATTGCACGCGCCCCTGATTGCCCTTCATTCCACGCGCCCCTGATTGCCCTTCATTCCACGCGCCCCTGATTGCCCTTCATTGCACGCGCCCCTGATTGCCCTTCATTCCACGCGCCCCTGATTGCCCTTCATTCCACGCGCCCCTGATTGCCCTTCATTCCACGCGCCCCTGATTGCCCTTCATTCCACGCGCCCCTGATTGCCCTTCATTGCACGCGCCCCTGATTGCCCTTCATTGCACGCGCCCCTGATTGCCCTTCATTCCACGCGCCCCTGATTGCCCTTCATTCCACGCGCCCCTGATTGCCCTTCATTCCACGCGCCCCTGATTGCCCTTCATTCCACGCGCCCCTGATTGCCCTTCATTCCACGCGCCCCTGATTGCCCTTCATTCCACGCGCCCCTGATTGCCCTTCATTCCACGCGCCCCTGATTGCCCTTCATTTGACGCCTCTCACCTATGCCTCTCTCTATGTCTCCCCCCCCCGGGCGCGCATGTGTGGTGTGCGCGTGGGAGCAGGTGGGCGCACAACAACAGTCTCACAGGCGGCATTCCCCAGTCCCTCAGCCACCTCTCCTTCCTGCAGGACCTGTACGCGCCACCACAGCACCACACACCACCGCACCACCACACTCCCTATCCGCACCCCCCCTCCCCGCTCACCCTCCCCGCTCACCCTGTCCACTCATTCTCTGCTTTCCCCCCTCCTCACTCACCTCTTTCACTCCCCCGCATCATTCTACCTACCCACTTTTCCTCCTCAACCCCCTTCCCAATCCACCCTCCCAACTCACTTGCACGCACCTCGTCGGGCGCCCGTGTGTGTGAGCAGTGCGTGCCCACTCAACCCCTTGCTCACTGCTGTGCCTCATCACGTCCTCTCCCTATTTAAATCCCTTCTCCTAAACCCATTCCTCTCCTGCTAACCCCTTCCCACTCCTTCTCCCCCTCATCCCCCCCACCTGCCTTCCCCCACCACTGGGCGTCGCCTCACTGCTGGCAGGAATCTGGGCAACAACAACCTCACGGGCACCATCCCCGCACCAGTCTTCACGCTCACCATGCTCACATCGCTGTCAGTGCCTCTCTGCTTCTTCACCATTTCTTTCCCTGTGGGTGTGTGTGTGCGGGTGTGTTGGTGGTGTTAGGTGTGTGTATGAGAGCATGTTGGGTGTGTGCGAGTGTGTGGGTGTGTGTGGGTGCTATGATGTGTGGGTGTGGTCAAGCAAGCCTATGTGAAAGGGGCCATGCTGGTTTCTTTCACTGCTTCTACCTCTCCCACCGCACTCCATGTTCTTCTCGTCCTCCCCTCCTTCCCACCTCACTGCCTGCCGTCCCCCCTGTCCCCGCACCGTCTCCCACGCCCGGGAGCATGTCGCTGGACAACACCCTTCCCCTCATTGCGTGCCCCTGTCACGGCGGTGCGTGCTCATACCCGTTGTGCGTGCATGGGAGCAGGTCGCTGGACAACAACAACCTCACGGGCTCGCTGCCAGACGCCCTCACGCAGTTGCAAGAGATCAAGAAACTGTGAGGGGCACAGCGCCACAGCGACACACATTGTTTTTTCTTCCATAGTAAAACGGCTTGTGAGAGAGAGTTAGCTGTGAGCCCTGTCCTCCATCTCCTTAGATCATTCCTTCGCTGTTCTTTCCATAATTATTTCCCAAGAATCACTACTAAAAGGCATTTTCTGTCTTCCCTTTTCACTTCACTATCCATTGTGCACCCTTTCTTCTCTCCCCTTTCTTCTCTCCCCTCCGCCCTCCCACGCCCGTGGCACGTGCAGCAATCTAGGGGGAAACCATTTAGAGGGCACCATCCCAAATGCCATCAATAAACTCACCAACCTTGAACATCTGTGAGTCACCACAGGCTACACGTGAGTCAGCAACACTTGAATCCACTGTAGCAGCATCCACCTCTAACACGTACTTAGATAACACCACACTCCCTTACTTCCCCTCCGCGCCTCTCTGCCTTGCGTGTTTCGCGCCCCTTGCGATGTCATCCCCCCCGTGTGAGCGGTGAGCAGGGAGTTGGATCACAACGAGCTGCAGGGCTCCATCCCCTCATCCATAGCGCGCCTGCAAGACCTCAACCTGCTGTCAGTCGCCCTGCCATGCCATGCCATGCCATGCCATGCCATGCCATGCCCATGCCGTGCCGTCCTGTGCCGTGCCGTGCCGTGCCGTGCCGTGCCGTGCCGTGCCGTGCCGTGCTGTGCTGTGCCATACCATATGTGTGAGCATGACGTGTCATGGCATGTTGATTCATACCATTCTATGCCACCACACATTTGATGCATGCCCATTGCAGCTTTCCCTCCATTCTTCGCCCCCTCCCTCCTCCCTGCCGTCCCCTTTCCCTCACCCTAAGCCCCTCCTCTCTATCTCCGCCACACCACCACCACCACAGCAACCTGGCGAGCAACAGGCTCACGGGCAACATTCCCAGCAACTTCGGCACCCTCAAGTCGCTCAACAACCTGTAACACCCGCTCTCTCATACCACGCCATCGTGCTGCTCTCTCATACCACGCCATCGTGCTGCTCTCTCATACCACGCCATCGTGCTGCTCTCTCATACCACGCCATCGTGCTGCTCTCCCCGCACCCCAGGCCCATGGCACTGTCGCGTGCGCATGTGATGAGCCCCCAAGCTGCCATGTGACCTCTCATTGCGTCCCGTTCCCTTCCCTTGCCACCATGTCCTCGTGCCATGCCCGCTCCCAGGCAGCTGTCCACCAACCGTCTAGAGGGGGCCATCCCCCCAACTATTGCTGCGTGCACCGCACTCAAGTCGCTGTGAGCCTCTCCTCACAGCCCACCGGTCCCCCTCCTCACATATCCCCCCCCATTGCTGCTTGCACTGCACTCAGGTCACAGTAAGCCCTCTAACTCAAATCCCAGATCCACCCCCCTTCTCCCCCCCTTCATCCCTCTCCTCCCTGACCCCCATGCCCCGTGCCCCCTGCCCATCGTGCCCCATCCCTCCTCCCTCCTGCTCCCCCTGGTTGGTGCGCGCTGCCCTCTGCTGTGTGTGTGCAGGGCGGTGAGCAGCAACCAGCTGAGCGGGTCCATCCCAGATGGGCTCCTCTCCCTCCCACTGCTCAGACACCTGTCAGTCGCGCTCCGCCCGTGCCCACCTGCCCCTGTGCTACCACTGTGCTTGTCATCGCGCATGCACCTAACCACCACCCATACATGCGTCCATCCTTTCAACCCACCCTCATTCCCGCCTCCTCTCCTCTTCCTCTTTCTCTTCCTCTTCCTCTACCTCCTCTCCCCTCTTCCTCTGCCTCCTCTCCCCTCTTCCTCTGCCTCCTGTCCTCTTCCTCTGCCTCCTGTCCTCTTCCTCTCCTTCTGTGCCTGCTCCTCGCCGTGCCCCTATCGCGTGGCACGGCAGGGCGCTAGACAACAACAGTCTGAGCGGCTCCATCCCATCGGGCCTCACCCGCCTCACCAGCCTCAGGACGCTGTGAGCAGCTCACACGCCCATGCACACACACGAACATGCACAGACACGCACATGCACACGCACATGCACACGCACATGCACACACACGAACATGCACAGACACGCACATGCACACACACGAACATGCACAGACACGCACATGCACACGCACATGCACACGCACATGCACATGCACACGCACATGCACACGCACATGCACACGCACATGCACACACACGAACATGCACAGACACGCACATGCACACGCACATGCACACGCACATGCACACGCACATGCACACGCACATGCACACGCACATGCACACACACGAACATGCACAGACACGCACATGCACACACACGAACATGCACAGACACGCACATGCACACGAACATGCACAGACACGCACATGCACAGACACGCGCATGCACAGACACGCGCATGCACAGACACGCGCATGCACACGCACGCACGCACACGCACATGCACAGTACAGCATGTACATGGAGGGAGTGTGTAGGTGTGTGCAGGTGAAGTGTATGAAGTGCTACATACACAGTCAATCTTCTGCACTCTGTCAATCAACCTCTCCGTTTCCCTTTCTCTTCTCTTTTGTTCTCTTCTCCCCATCCCTTCCCCTCCCCTTTTTTCTCGTTCTCTCCCCGCCCCGCCCCTCATCGCCCCCTTGTCCCATGCACCACCACGGCAGGTCGCTGGCGGGCAACAGCATCTCGGGCCCTCTCCTGCCTGGCCTCGCATCACTCAAGCGCCTGGAAACGCTGTGAGCCACCCACCCACCCACCACACCGCTTTCCACAACTTCTCAAATACCATCGTTGGTGCGATTTTGCCCGTCCCTCTCCTGGGCTGTGGCGGCTTGCCACGCTAGGAGCACCCGCGTTGCCACGGACCAGAACTCCCCAGTCAAACAAGCCTTGCTTCCCGTTCTCGTGCTCTCCTGCGCACTGCTCTCCTGCGCACTGCTCTCCTGCGCACTGCGCCCTTGCTCTGGTCCTTTGCACTTCTCCCCTGCTCTACCCGTGTGCGCTGCTCACTTGGAACCATCCACGCTTCCCCTTCCCCCCAACTCTCCCCCCCCTCTCCCGCGTCCACAGTAACTTAAACCAAACACAGTTCACAGGCTACCTCCCTCCCGACCTGGGCAGCCTCGAGTTCCTCAAAAATCTGTACGCACCCTTCCCAACCGCATCCAACCACACCCCACCTCACCCGACCCCACCCTTGCCTACTCACTGATAGGAGTCTATTCCACCAGAAAGAATATCCTCGCTTCGGGTGCACGTAACTAACTCGTACTTCATAGGCGTGTCATGTCCTCCTCACGGTTTGCACCCTCCCAAGTATGCTTTCAAAGCTCTACACTTCCTCCCCCCTCAGCTTCCATTCCCCTCCTCCCCTCCTGTCGTGCCACCCCATCCTCTCCAGTCTCCCCTTCCGCTCCCGTACGATCGCCCTCGCCCCCCTCGCGCTCCTCTTCGCCCCTGTCGCCTCTGCCCGCCTCCCACACGCACACACACCTGCACCCGTTCCCTCTCCCCTCTCCCCACTTCCCCCCCTCCCCCCCCCCCCCCCCCCCCCCCTTTTTCCCCCAATGATCCCCCACCCCTGTTCCCCCCCCTGCTCCCCCCGTGTTTCCCCTCTTGTTCCCCCACCGCTGTTCCTCCCCCATGTCCCCCCCTGTCCCCCCGCACCCCCCAGGGAAACGGCCAACACTACTCTGTCGTGCCCGCCCACCTCCGCCTCCTGCGTGTCGCCGCTCTCCAACGCCTCTCGCTTCTGCCACCTCTGCCCTCAGTACTGCTCTGCCTGCCTTGCTCGTACGCACGGGTCGGGGACGCAAGTGCACTTACAAGGGGAAGGGGGAAGGGGGAGGGAATTGGGAGGTTGGTGAGGAGGAGTGTTTGTGGGGGGTACAAGGGAACAGAGAGGCTGGAGGAGAGGCGGGGGTGTGGAGGGGGGCGAGAGAGAGGGGATGAGATAGATGCGTTTACGATGACTGCCTTTGGCTGTGCCTTGTGACGACCACGCATCACGAGGTACACGCCTTGTGTGCTGCCTTGGGCGCCTTGGCTTGACTTCACTTGGCGTGGCGTGACAGTGCGAGCACGAGGTGGCAAAGGGTAGGCTTCACCGCATCATGAACCTGCTGCTCCTGCGCCGTGTACGCTCGTCATCGCCGAGCTGCTGCTGCTGCTGCTGCTGCTGAGACTGCTGAAACTGCCATGCCCTTCCCCTGAACACCTAACCCCCACCCCTCTGCCTCACTCACCACGCATCACCGTGCAGGCGCACCAGTGGCGCGCACGGTGGGCATCGCGGTGGGGGTGTCCCTGGCCGTGCTGCTGCTGCTGGGCGCGCTGGGCGGGTGGTTCATCTACCAGCGCCTCAAGAAGCGCGCACGCATGGGCGCGTCCGCTCGAGGTCCGTGCCGTGCATGCCTGAGGATAGACGGGAGTGAGGGCGAGGGGGGGGGAGGGAGGATTGATGCGAGGGAGAGGGAGAGGGTGGAGGTAATCCTATAATTTTCCGTCTTACACAAGACAGCGGAGAGGGGAAAACTGGAGACAAGGGAGAGAGGGTAAAGTGGAGAGGGGGATAGGGAGGAAGAAGAGGTGTTTTTTTCATGCTCCCCTTTGCTCGCCCTCCTATCCCCCCTCCGTCGCTGTGTCCCCGTTCTACTGTGCAAACTGCTGTTGCATGTGTGAAGGAGTACACTCCCTCCCTTCCTCACAAGCTCTTCACCCAACTCCCTACCTGCTGCCTTGGCACAAAATATAAACCAGCGCCCTCACCCCCCTCAACTCCCCCCCCCCCCCCCCCCAGCAGTGCAGAGCGTGGAGGCATTTGTGGAGTATTCACTGGACGAGGTCAAGAAGGCCACCAACAACTGGGCACCCCACAACCGCCTGGGCGCGGGGGGCTTTGGCGACGTGTACCAGGGCGTGAACCCGCGCGACGGCAGCACGCGGTGGGCGGTGAAGCGCGGGCGCGTGGTGACAGAGGACTTTGACACGGAGGTGCGGCAGATGGCCACCAAGCACCACCCCAACCTCGTGCGCCTGCTGGGGTACTGCGACGAGGCGGACAAGGAGCAGCAGGAGCAGATCCTCATCTACGAGTTCGTGCCCAACGGCGACCTGGACCACTGGATCGGCCCCAGTGAGTGCTGTGCTGCTTATACACATGCTGGGGGGGCTGGGCCGCCAGTGCTGCTACTGCCACTCCACCTCACGAGTTCATGCTGGGGGGATAGGGTGCAGTGTGTGGGTGAGGGATAGGGGGCAAAGAGTGACAGCACTGAGAGATGCCTGTACCAGTTGGTTCAACCAGTGGTAAGGATTGCCAAGTTATTGTGGCCTACGGAGGCCCGGACTAGAAGTGGTGTAATGAGGAAGGTTGAGGGCGGGTGTTGGCTGGTTCAGGTCTTAGGGTTGACGCTTTGGCAGTTGGTATTGGTGAGTGTGGATGCGGCTTGTTGAGCTTGTGTGCATCTCATGCTCGGCTCGCCTCCCTTTGCATTCTCTCCTTCCCCCCACTCTGCCCCACTGCCCTGCACGTTACTGTTTGTGTGCATGCGTGTGTGTGTGCATGGGTGTGCGTGTGTGCATGTATTCCTGCATGTGTGCTCCGTGCATGTGCATGCGCGTTCATGTGTATGTGTGCATGTGTCTGCATGTCCTTGTGCATGTGCTTGTGCGTGCATGTATGTCCATGTGTATATGTGTGCATTTACATGTGCATGTGTGCGTGTGCATATGCATGTGCATGTGCATGTGTGCGTGTGCATATGCATATGCATGTGCATGTGTGTGCACCACCACATGTGCACGTCAATACAGAGGCGGCGACCTCGCTGACGATACGGCAGCGGGTGGACATTCTGATAGGAGCAGCGAGGGGCTTTGAGTACATGCACAGCTTCAACATCGTGCATCGCGACATCAAGCCCGCCAACATCCTCATCACCACCGACATGCAGGCACGCTGCCCCCTCTCCTGCCTTCTCCCCTGCCTGCCTGCATCATTTCTCTCCTATTCGCTCTCCCCAGTTTCCTCTGCCATGCGGGATACACACAAAAACACTTCACAGTTTTCTCTCCTCCTCCGTGCACTCTATGCCCTCTTGCTCGTGCCTCGTCTCCCTCCCCACCTCACTTCACTCTCTGTCTTACCACCTTCTCCCTCTGCTCCATCACTCTGCTCCTGCATCTTCCCAACTCCCTCTGCACTCCCTCTGCCACTCTCTCTCCCCATCTCACCCACACACCACCATGCCACCAATCATGCCACCATGCCACCATGCCACCATGCCACCATGCCACCATGCCACCATGCCACCATGCCACCATGCCACCATGCCACCATCGCTCTCATGCCGACAGGCGAAGATAGCGGACTTTGGGCTGGTGAGGCAGGAGGAGGGGGCGGGGAGTCTATCGGCAACGAGGGTGATGGGCACGCCGGGCTATGTGGACCCTGCATACCTGCTGTCTCAGAAGGCCACCACTGCCACTGACGTCTACAGGTGCGTGCGCTGCTGCCACCGTGTGCGTGCGCTGCTGTTACCGTGTGCGTGCGCTGCTGCTACCGTGTGCGTGCGCTGCTGCTACCGTGTGCGTGCACTGCTGCTACCGTGTGCGTGCGCTGCTGTGCTGCTGATGGATACGTGGCGTCCTGGTGAAAGCGCAGGTGTATGGTCATGTGTATATGCGCCCATCCTCTTGCGCTGCACCATATGTCTCTGCCCTTCCAAGCTTCTTGCAATGCTCACCCTGCCCCCACCTCTGCTCTTCTTGCATCTCTGCTCCTTGTTTCTCTTGTGCCGCCACATCTATAATGCACCCCCTTTTCTTATCTCTCCTCCCTCTCTGTCACTAGCCCCCCCCAGCCCCTCGCTCACTCCCTCATTAGCATTGCAGTCTTTTCAGGCTCGTTATCTCTCCCTGCCATTCATTCCCTCCGTCCTCCTTTCCCTCCTTCCACCTCCCGTTTTATTCATTCACTGGGCGAGCAGCTTTGGAGTGCTCATTCTGGTGATGCTCACGGGCCGGGATGTGGTGGAGTCAGCACAGAAGAAGTTCACCTACCTGCGGGACCTTGTAAGTAACCACTGGTAACCACGCCTTGTGCTATCCCCACACACGTACCACCCCTGCCATGTCCCACTTCCCACCACCTGGAATAGCGTTTGTTGCACTCAACATGGTCTCAAATGCCACTTATCACCACTGCTTCTTACGAATGCACCCGTCCCCATTCCCCATCACTTTCCTCCCCATCCCTCCTCACGCGTCCACTTCTCTCTTCCTCTCCGCCCTCCTGCTTCCCCCTTCTGTCCCCCTTCCCTCCCCCCTTCCCACCCTGTATATCCCCCCGACGAAGCAAGCCAAAGCGTCCAGCAGCAGTGCTGGCATGCGAGAGGGACTGCGCGCTGAGGAAGTGTTGCCACGTCTCAAACTGCCCCTTCCCCGCGCCACCCTCCTCACCGCCAGGCCAAGCAAGCCGTGGCATCCAGCGACAGCACGGGCATCCGCGACCCGGCGCTCCCCGACGCGCCCGACGAGGCGCTGCTCCTCATTGCGGACATCGCGGTGCGGTGCACGGACCAGCGCACGGCCCTGCGCCCCTCCATGAGCGACGTCGTCAACGCGCTGCAGGCGGTGCGGCGGCAGCAGCTGGGCGGCGACGAGGAGGAGCAGAAGAAGGCGGACTCTGCCGTGCTAGTGGACGCGGAGATAGAGGCCATGCGCGTGGAGCTGAGGGGGCACGAGGACACACTGGACGAGGAGCTCAGCGCCGTCATGCGCTCCATGGCCACGCCACGAGGGGCCGCTGCCGCCGCTGATGCTGCTACCCATGGGTTCCCGCCAGTGTCGGGTTCGGGGGGTGGTACTGGTTCTGCTGGGAGTGCAGCTGCTGCTGCTGCTGCTGCTGCCGCCACAAGGCGGGAGCTCTGAAGCAGCAGGAATAGCGGCAGACATGCGAGTGACCATTCTCGACCCCCAGCCGCTCCCCACAGCCTCTCACGCGCCTGCCGTCGCTGCTGCTGCTGCTGCTGCTGCTTCCGCGGGCGGCAAGGCTGCAAGAGAGCAAGAGGAAGTCCAAGAGGTGTCGCTGCAATTCTACCTACAAGGGCCCGCACCCACCTCACACACCCCACCGCCCGCCCCACCATCTGCGGAACAGCCTGCACCGTTTGCCTTCTCTCTTGCACCAGGCCCGTCCTTGACCCCGCCTGGGAGCAGCGGCGATGGTACAACGCTGGGTGGTGGTGGTGAAGCAGGGAGGGGCCATGACACTGTCTTGTCTGTGGACGACTCACAGCATGCCGGGGCTTGGGAGTACCACCCCCAGCACGTGGGTGTGCATGTGGGTATGGGAGGGCACCAAGCTGCTTTGCCTCCGCCACCGCTCTCCAGGCAGCCTGAACTCGAACCTGCGCCCGGACTCGAACCTGCGCCCGGACTCGAACCCCAACATGATCCCCAGCCTGAACCCGAGCCTGTAATTGCGGTTGAACCTGGGGCTGCCTCTGGAATCAAGGACACAGCTGGACGTGGTCCTGGCGAGGATGCTGGGCCCGTGGGGGGGGATGGGGAGGCGTCCATTGCAGTTCCCGCACATGGGGCTTCCATTGGAGCTGCTCCTGCCTCTAATGCCTCTGCCCCTGCTGCCACTACCTCTACTGCTTCTGCCTTGTCTGCTGCTGCTGACATGGCTAGGCCAGATGATTCTGATGCTGAATCGTTCTCGTTCGGGACCATGGCTCCCCACACTTCCCCTCCCGCCCTCACCCCTCCTCCCGCCCTCACCCCTCCTCCCGCCCTCACCCCTCCTCCCGCCCTCACCCCTCCTCCCGCCCTCACCCCTCCTCCCGCCCTCACCCCTCCTCCCGCCCTCACCCCTCCTCCTGCCCTCACCCCTCCTCCCGCCCTCACCCCTCCTCCCGCCCTCACCCCTCCTCCTGCCCTCACCCCTCCTCCTGCCCTCACCCCCTCCTCCCGCCCTCACCCCTCCTCCCGCCCTCACCCCTCCTCCTGCCCTCACCCCTCCTCCTGCCCTCACCCCTCCTCCTGCCCTCACCCCTCCTCCTGCCCTCACCCCTCCTCCTGCCCTCACCCCTCCTCCTGCCCTCACCCCTCCTCCTGCCCTCACCCCTCCTCCTGCCCTCACCCCTCCTCCTGCCCTCACCCCTCCTCCTGCCCTCACCCCTCCTCCTGCCCTCACCCCTCCTCCTGCCCTCACCCCTCCTCCTGCCCTCACTCCTCCTCCTGCCCTCACCCCACCTCCCACCCTCACCCCACCTCCTGCCCTCACCCCTCTGTCTGCCCTCACCCCTCCGCCTGCCCTCAAACCCCCACCAGGCAGGTCCCCGCCCTCACCAGCGCCCCTCGCACAGCTCGCACCTGCTTTCCCATCACAGCAATCACTGGGCCTCACATCGCTAAAGTCTGAGGACTCCACTCAAGGCGATGACCCACTGGCAGAAACACCAAGCTCTGACACGCCCGACCCCGATTCATCCCACAGCTCAGACCCCTCTGGCGCATCAGTGGATTCTTCAATCAGCCGGCAAGACTCAACTGGTGCGGGGGATTCTTCTGGCTCTGCTCGCAAGAGTGCACGCAAGGGTGGGCATAAGGGTCGTAGAGGGAGGTGAAGTTGAGTGCCAGGCTGATCAAAATGTTCTTGTCTTGTGGTGTACTTGTGGGATTTTGTACTCGTACTGGTACATGGTGGTGGGTTGATACATGGGTTCTTTTTCTTTTCTTTCCATTGTGTTGTATCTGTTCTCTGTAGGTTTGCAATAAAGCTGGTTAATCAGTTTCAGATGTGCGGTACTGTCAAAGAGCAATTGTTTTGTGTCAGGCAGTTCCAGATGCCGTTGTTGAAAACACGTTGTTGCGGCATCTGGACAAGAGAAGACGTTAGACGCAATTCAGATACAGTCGCAGTTCGCGCACGTTTTAAAGCTGCAAACATCAACGCCCTTCGACGGAAAGGACTTCTATACCTGGTCCTTCGAATTCGAGCTGATGATGGAAGGTGCGTAGATTCTTGGATTCTTCGACGGTTCCCTGCCATACCCAACGCACGGGACACAATACGACAAGCAGCAGTACACGTACATACCAATCGTTAATGGAATACACGATTCTGCTACGAAACATAACGCCGAACGAGCAGCAGAACATCCGGTCTTATCGGGGATACGGCAACTCCGCCGAGCTCGCGTACAACCACTTGAAGAACCTGTATCAGGCAAAGACAGTGTCAATCAGAGTTAGCTAATGGCACAACTGACAACAGTGTAAATGAAACCCGGCGAAAAATGGAATGGCGTATATCAGCCACTGCCGCGGACTGCGCGACAGACCCCTTCGATGCGGAGGAGCGATATCAGAAGAAGCCTTCGTCACTGTCATCATCGCTGGACTTGGTTCCCATTGGCGTTCCACCGGCGCCCTCCTTCGAGCCCACGGGAAGATTTCCGAAGCAGCACTCTGCGCCGAAATTCACGCCGAACAGCAAGACATGGACCTGCACGAGGAGCGGCACAAGAAGAGAACGTCAGTACCCGAATTTGCTTTTCACACTCAATGACGCTACAACAACAACAACAACGGGCAGAACAAGCCTCAAGCACAACGCTACGTACCTCCATTCTGCCACCTCTGCAAAACGTCGGGACACCCTCGCACACACTGCCCGAATCAGCAGCAGCCAACGGCACCTCAACGCCAACTTCGGCCTTCAAGCAGTCAAGTGGCGTCTACACAAGCACACCCCACCATTAAAACGCAATCTTCAACGACGTCAACATCATCTGTACAAGGGACAAGAAACATCGTGAGCTGCATGACGAAAATCACAGACTCCTGCATCACCGAGTCACCGCCACACTACTCACCAGAAGAGTTACTCGACGAGAGAACTCCTCGCCGCGAGTCACTGGAACCGAACCCGACATACGCAGCCATCGCCCAAAGCGAGCCCTCTGGAAAAGACACTTGGTTCTTGGACAGTTGCTGCGGACAACACATATGTTCCTCCGGTCGCTTCGTTCAACCTGAGCCTGAGCCTGAGCCTGTGCCTGCTGCATTTCCCCGCCCTGTGACCATGGCGACTATTTCTGTTCTCGACTTTGAGCCTGACGGTAGTCCTGTTCAGTGACCTGGCTCAGTGACCTGCAGCTCTACCTTTTGACTAATACCAAGGACGGAGCCTCTCTGCTAGACTATGTCAATGGCACTGCCCCTGCTCCCGCTGCTACTGCTCCTGCCTCTGAACGCGCTGAATGGCAGACCCGTGATGCCCTTGCCCGCCTAGCTATTCGCAACCACCTGCCTATCTCCGAGCGCGCACACTTCAACCAGCTTAAGACTGCTAAGGAACTGTTTGACGCAGTAGTTGCCCGCTATTCCGCCCCAGCCACTGCCGCCGTTGGTAGCCTCATCCTACCCTACCTTTTCCCCGACCTCGCCTCGTTTTCCACTGCTGCAGACCTCATCTCTCACCTCCGCACTAGTGACGCTCGCTTTCGTGCCGCTCTCTCTGACGAGTTCCTCGCCGAGAACAAACCCCCCCTGTACTTTACCCTCTACATCCTAGTCACCCGCCTTCCCGACACGCTCCGTTCCGTTAGGGACTACTTCCTCGCCAAAGACCCTCCCACCATCACCCTAGATGACTTCGAGCAGCAGCTAGTTGCAGCTGAGAAGAACATTCTTGCTGTGAATGCTGCTCGTGGCACTCCCCGCACTCCCCTCTTTGAGGGATGCTCCCCCTCCCCTCTTAGCCCCTCCTATGCCTCTGCTGCTGCTGCTGTTGACCTTCTCGGCGCTGAGAAGGTCAACGCCGCTTCTACTCTTGGTGGGAAGCGCGGCGGAGGCAAGGGTGGCAAGGGGGGCAGGGGTGGCGGAGGTGGCGGCGGTGGGGGCGGTGGTGGAGGCGGCGGGGGTGGCGGCGGTGGTGGGGGTGGCCGTGGGAGTGGAGGTGGTGGGTGGGGTGGTGGCAGGACCGGGGGCGGTGGAGGCGGCAGCGGAGGTGGTGGGGGAGGAGGCAGCGGCACTGGTGGTGGAGGTGGGGGTGGAGGTGGATCTGGCCAGAAGAGTGGCGCTGGTGGCGGCCAGCAGCAGCAGCAGCAGCAGCAGCCACAGCAGCAGCAGCAGCGTCCGCCTCTCACCTCCCAGCAGCTCAATGACTGGTATGCTGGGCGTGGGGCGTCTAAGGGCTCTGACCGCTGCCCCTATGTCATTCGCACAGGTCCCCGCCAGGGTCGCACCTGCGACGGTTTTCACACTGAGTTCCGCTGCTTCGCTAGGCTTAGTGACGCCTGGCGCGCAAAGTATCCTGATGCTACTGAGTTCCCCAACTGGGCAGATCTGCTTAGGCGTGGTGTTCCTATCTTTGATCTGGACTATGATGCTATTCTTGCTGCTATGTATGCATTGACTGTTAGTGCTGAGGGTGACTGTTACTTGTGTGTGCCGCCTGACCCAGGTATAGAGACTGCAGCCCTAGGTGCTAGTGAGTCTGCTCTCCCTGGTACTGCGTCCGCTCAGGCTTTGCACACGTTCACACTTGACTCTGGTGCTTCGCGCTGTTTCTTTCGCGACAGCACCACTGTCACCCCTCTCCCTGCACCTGTTCCTGTCTCACTGGCTGACCCGTCTAAGGGTCCAGTGCTTGCATGGGCCACGACTGTGCTTCCGTGCCCAGCGGTCCCGTCTGGTGAGCTGTCTGGTCTCCATGTTCCCTCGTTCTCTACGAACCTGGTGAGCAACGCCGTCCTTCAGGATCACTGGGTTGACACCTGGACTCCTGGAGGACAGCGTGTGGCGATCTGTACATGCTCCAAGACCGGCCGCCACCTGGCCACGTTCACACGTGAGCCAGGGTCTAGTCTGTACACCCTCACCACTGTTTCACGCTACACTCCTTTGTCTCCACAGCTGTACGCGTCTGCTCAGGTTGCTACCCAGTGTGAGTGCCGCCGCCTGTCCCACGACACTCTCCTTTGGCACCACCGCCTTGGTCACCCCTCCCTGCCTCGCCTTCGTAGCATGCACTCTCGCTGCCTGGTCTCTGGCCTTCCCAGGTCTCTCCCTGCCCTCCCTCCCTCGCCTGCGCCGCCCTGCATTCCTTGCGTCGAGGGGCGGCAGCGTGCCGCTCCTCACTCCTCCTCGTTCCCTCCCACTGAGGCTCCACTGCAGACTCTCCACCTGGACGTGTGGGGCCCAGCCCGTGTCCAGGGGCAGGGCCGCGAGCAATAGTTCCTGCTGGTAGTTGACGACTACACGCGCTACACCATGGTCTTCCCCTTGCGCAGCAAGGGGGACGTCCCTGCTGTTTTGATCCCCTGGATCCGCGCTGCTCGTCTCCAGCTCCGCGAGCGGTTCCAGTCGGACTTTCCTGTCTTGCGTCTGCACTCTGACAGAGGTGGTGAGTTCTCCTCCGACCTCTTGCGAGCCTTCTGTGAGGAGCACGGCATCACCCAGTCGTTCACGCTTCCGGCCTCTCCACAGCAGAATGGGGTTGCTGAGCGCCGCATTGGCTTAGTCATGGAGGTCGCTCGTACCTCCATGATCCATGCGACTGCCCCCCATTTTCTGTGGCCGTTTGCAGTCCGGTACGCCGCGCATCAGCTCAACCTCTGGCCCCGTGTCTCCTTGCCGGAGACCTCGCCCACACTGCTGTGGACGGGGAAGGTTGGCGATGCGTCGCGTTTCCGGGTCTGGGGTGCTCGTGCGTTTGTCCGCGATACTACTGCGGACAAGCTCTCCGCTCGCGCCATTCCCTGTGTTTTCCTTGGCTTTGTTCCTGACGCGCCTGGCTGGCAGTTCTACGAGCCCACCTCGCGCCGTGTCTTTGCGTCTCAGGACGTCACCTTTGACGAGTCTGTTCCCTTCTACCGTCTCTTTCCCTACCGTACTTCTCCTCGCACCCCCCCGCCGCTCTTCCTCGCTCCAGGTTCTCCCCAGGTATACCCCCTCCCCGCGCCAGGTCCTGCTCCCTCAGGTGTTTCTCAGGTAGACCCTCCCGTGCCTGCACCTGTTGAGGTCACTGGTGACTCCGGTCCTGCTGGAGGTGGTGCTGTCGTTGGGGGTACTGTGCCTGGGGGTGGGGAGCTTGGGGGTGCTGAGCCTGGGGGTGCGGAGCTTACGCGTGAGGAGACTGAGGGTGCGGGGCCTGGGGGTGCTGAGCTTGGGAGTGAGGAGCCTGGAGGTGCGGAGCCTGGGGGTGCTGAGCCTGCGTGTGAGGAGTCTGGAGGTGCGGAGACTGGAGGTGCGGAGCCTGGAGGTGCGGAGCCTACGTGTGAGGGTTCTGGTGGTGCTGAGTCTGGGGGTGCTGAGTCTGGGGGTGCTGAGCCTGGAGGTGCTGGGTCTGAGGGTGCTGGGCCTGCTGGTGTGCGGTCCCCTTGGAGTGGCCGCCTTCGTCCGCGTGTGCCTCTCACCTCCCAGCAGCTGCACGACTGGTACGGTTGCCGTCAGGGTCGCACTACTGGAGCCCGGGGCTCTACTGCTGGAGGTCCTTCTGCTTACGTCTCTGGAGCTAGGGGTGGTACTGGTGCTTTGCCTACTGGAGGTGCTGGAGTTACCGGTCCCGGAGGTGCTTGTACTGGAGGTACTGGAGCTGCAGGGGCTGGGAGTACTGTGT